GGCCCCCCCACTGCCCGGCGCGGCCCACAACGGTCAGCCCTACCAGCTGTACCCCTACGGCAAGGAGCGCCTGCCCGCCAACCCCGGCCCGCATTACCCCCCGCTGTCCGCTCAGGCGGGGGGGGCGGCAGCGGAGAGGGCCCCCGCCGGCAACCCGCCGGCGGCCGAAGGCCCCCGCGGCCCCGGCGAGAGGAGCTGGTACGGCGAGGGCTACGGCGCGCCGGGGCCCGGCGGGGCCAGAGAGGGCCCGGCCCCCCCGGGACTCTACCCCTATCCAGGGGGGCAAGCGCAGGAGCCGCAGGAGTTCGCCCCCCAGCAGGGGCCCCCGGCGCCGCCCACTTTCTTCGGGAACGCCCTCCCGCCCGTCCCAAAGCTGCCCCCCCCGCCCTCCGCGTTCGAGCTGCCCCCCTCCCCGGCCGGCAGCATGATGATGCCCCCCCCAGCAGCCGCCCGGTCCCGGCGCAGACACGGCGGGGGGGGTGGGGCCCCGGCAGGACAGCGTCATCAGTGGCATGGTGGTGCATGACCACCAGCACAAGTCCCTGCTGCCCCCGGACGACCCGCCCTACCCCCGCCGCCCCGACTTCCTGCCCCCCCCGCCAGAAGAAATGCATTACCAGGAGGACTTTGAGCCCTACCACGAGGACTTACGCCACCACGAAGGCCATTTCTTCCACGAGGAGCCTTTCTACCCCCCCAACGATGCTTACTACAGAGCGGGCAGCCCCCCGCACCCCTACCCCCGAGGGCGGGGGCGCCTCACCCCCCCACACTCGCCTTCAAACAACCCCTACTACCCACATGACTACCAGCAGCAAAGCCCCCCTCCCCTGCAGTACGCGCCGAGGCGCCCGCCCCCCCCCCGCGCCCCCCCGCCCCCGCTCCCCCCCCCCCCCCCGCCGCCACACCAGCACCTCAGAGGGCCGCCCCGCCCGCCATTCCCCCGCTTCCACGGGCCCGATCCCAGATTCCGGGGCAAGCGCCCCGGTCTGCGGGGCGGGGGCCCGGCGTTCCCCCCGAAAAGACCCTTCCTCCCCCCCCGGTACTGACGGAACCTTTGGCTTTGAGCTCTGGAACTCCACCACGACCTCTGCAGAGCTGCCACCGGCCGGGCGGGGGGGGGACAGTTATTCCAAAGGAGCAACCAGGAGGAGAGAACGTTTAAGGGCTTGAGGACAAGCAGACAGAAAGACCACGAAGCCGAAGAGTGAAGATGGAAGACTAAAGAAACTAAGAGGTGGATATAAATATCTCTATAACTCACTCTTTGCGTTACGTTCTCCGGTATGAAGCGTTCCTTCAACATCTAACCGAGCATCAGTTTGAATCGAGTCACAGTGAGTGCATGAAATCCAGATGTGCACGCCGTCAGGTGTTTATCAAATAGTTGCAGACCCCCCCCCCCCCCCCATTTCGAAGTCCAAGTTCAAGTATTTTCGCTACAGAAGTAACAGAGGGTGTTGGTGCTGTAGTTCCGTTCGACGTAGAGCAGTTCTCACTGCTCCCCCCCCCCCCCAGTAGGTTTTGGGCCGCGCGCGGGGCCCCCGCTCTGGGTCCAGTAATCCGGGGGTGTTGGGTCCAGTAATCCGGGGGTTTCTTAGAAGAGTTTCCGTTGGTTTCACGGTCACATGTTCGGTCAGCCATTTTTCACTGTTCCAGCCCCGAACGTGGCCACTCCGTGCGCTGCAGGCCCCCCCCCCCCGGCGGTAACTTAAGTCTCGCCCCGCTCCTTTAAGGAGAGCGAGCGTCACAGCTCCCCAGACGCACGTGGGAGGGAAGCGCGAGTTATTATTTTCAGCCTCCGACACCGATGCAGAAGAAGTATATTTCTGGAGGGGACGAAGACATTCGCCTTCAGTTTTATTTCCTTGTACTGACTAATAAAAATCTGAGTTTGAAAAATGTGTTGTTTTATTTTATTTCCTGTGATCACTGAACTGTTGCACCACTGCCCCCAACTCATCTGTACTTATTATCAGAGACAAGAAAATAGGCAGGTTTAGAGCGGAATTCATCGCAGAGTAGATTGGATTCCATCCATTTCAATTATTTCTCACTGTAAAAAAACAAAAAACACTTAAAGACTACCTTTAAAGAAGTAGTCAACCAAAGTGTCAGGGCTCTGTTCCCAGTCTAAAATGGGAGCTGCTGGTTTCTCAGAAGGCTGAACTAGTTTTACGATCCGATCAGTAAGGATCCATTCGCTGTTGTTTTGTTTCAACATTTAGGCACTTTTCGCCTCTGCTCATACAGTTTCTAAAGAGAAGCTGTGCATGTTCTTTAAATAAAGTCCCTTTATTAGCATGATTTTATTAAGGTTAGGTGGAGGAGTGGCTGCTCCTTTTGGCCTGTGTGTAGTCGGTGTGAGCTACAGCAGAGCGGCAGGTTGGCCCCGATCCTTAAGTTTGTTCAGGTGTAAAACCTGAGCCCACTAAACTGAACTGGTTTCCAAAACCAAAGCAGATTCAGAGGCATTAAGGGTTACCACTTTTTTTCCTTTGTTCCAGTTCAGCATAAATTCAACTCGTGTTAATTTACTTGCATTTTAGAAACTAGTGGAGGACCCATGAAAAGAAATAAAAAATTTTTTTTTAGCAATCACTATTTGTGAGAGAGAGAAAAGCAAGTTTTGTTTGAGGGATTGAAAACGATGAAGAAAAGTACCTGCTAGATGAGAGGCTTGGAGATAAAGGATGCTGTCGGGGGCCTTTTGGTAGAAACAAAGCGGAGCGTAATGTGAGCAGACGTGTGTTTGGCCTGTTCCCCCCTGTGCGGGGGGATCAGGTGAGGCCCGGAACTCCGTCCGCTCGTACAGAATCAGCTCCTTTATCATCAAAGATCAGCTAACGGTGCCAGCCTCCCGTCATGTTCGGGGTTTCATCTTCTCATTACCTGAGAGGCTGATGATGTGCGTGGCTTCTTGTTTGATTTGAATTTGCTCCTTCAGAAGCTTCCGGCGCGTCAGACACGTTCCTCAAACCTGCTTTGTTCGAATTGTAACGTTTCTACTTCTTCTCCCGCCCCCTCCCCAGGGACTCAGGGCCACTCTGAAGTGAGGGGTTTGATGGAAGCCTTCCCGGGCCGGAGCAGCCGAGCAGGAGTTTAACCAGAGGACATCCCCACAATGGATGCAGGCGGCAGGGAGATAATAAAGATAGGAAAGAGCTGGAATCGCGGGTCTTGCTTTGGCGGAAACGAAGGAGAGCCGGAAGGTTGGACAGGAAAGCTCCAGGTCAACAGTCAGGTTTCAGGCCTGGAATGCAATCAGTGCCTTCAGACCAGACATTTAGACACACAGGTGATGTCAGATTATAAAAAATGCATGCATTTTCTTGAAAGAAAAGTGTTCCATTTAATGTAAAAGAAACACGGTGGCTAAATAATGCAGGACCCACGATGACATGACCCATAAAAGTACTGATGCATCACCCAGTCACCCTCACCTGATGTGATTAGTTTACACTACGGGGCTTATTAGCTCTTATTTGTGCTTCATGTGTGCTTCTACAGCCCTCCCTGGAGCCAGTGTGAGAAATAATTCAATTGACATTTGATCTTTTTTGTAAATTTTATTTAAACTTGGCACCTTGTCCGAAGAGAGAAGCTGTTTCCCATTTGGATAAACTTCAGATTGCAGACATATCTGGACCTGTATGGGGCCTACAAACAGCCTGGCAGCGGTCATGTGGGTCAGAGGCTGACTGTTTAGGCCAAGCATCCCTCCTTATCTGAGAAATATCCAGATTTCTAATGTGAAGTATTTGATGGAAATCTTCAAATCTCAAGATCAGGATCTCAGTAAGATCAGATTCAGGTGTTGTGAGGCCTTCAGTGTACAGTTACTGATAAAGCTTGATTTCTGTCTATATTCTGGAAGACGTGCTCAAACACTTTCACGTAGATCGACGTATAAACACACATCTGAGAGCTTTTAATATCCAGCTTTTCCCCCTAAAACAAAACGTGGCCATGGAAGAGCTGTGGAGCTGTGGATCACGACACGTTTGACACATTTCATCACCATGAGTCATGAATCGTTTCAGCCTCGCATCACGATTAGAGTTCTGAAACACAGATACGCCCGTTTTAAAGTGAAATATTTGACATTATTTGATATTGACGACCCCCACCCCCCCTCCTCTCCCCTCCCCTCCCCTCCCCCCCTGCCTACATATGGGTGTGCAGCCTGTCACCAGATGTCGTTGTTGGTTCTAAGGTGTTCGTCAAATGTGAAAAAGGACACAAATCCCATCCCCGGATCCTTTTTAGGGGACCAATTTCCACCTGAAAACATGTGAGAAAGATGGCAGTCTTTGCCACATCTCCACCACAGGCTTATGGAGCCTTTGAGGGGCGGGAGGCAGAGAGGATTTAGAGACTGGTGGCAGATGGTAGTCTTAACACTGGAGACAAGCCGGAGAGATACTCCAGCGTCGAAAAATAAAGGAATTAATGGCGAGCGAGCAGAGAGATTTCTTTTTCTTTTTTTTTTTTTTTGCCCCAAAAGGCTCGCTTTAAATAATCACTGTAATGTTTCTGTGCGAGCCGAACGGGTCCAGATCGTGACTCCTTTGAAGCGCCTCCCGAGTGCGCATGCCCGGTGTGTGCAGCCCGCTGTCATGTGGTCTTATTGTTTACATGCTGCCCAAATTTCGGAGAGGGCGTGTGTACGTGTGTGCGCGTTGTACAAGAACGTCTTAACGAGCACACTTCTGTTAATAATGTGTTTTTTTTTTCGCCCCCCCATCCCCCCGTCCCCGTCCCAGATCAGGAAGGCTTTAATGTTCCCCTGATGGTGAGACGAGGAGATGGTTTTCAGGACCGTGGCCAGCTCCACGGCGAGAACAAAAGGCGGATTTGAAGCTCTTGATGTCAGGGACTGTCTGAGTTTTGTCACACCCACGAAAAAACGAAATCCTTCAGAGGAAAACACCTGCTGCCTTTTCTTTCACCTCTCCGTTTCTCCCTTTTTTATTACGAAAGAGAACAATTCCTCAAGCATTTCATTTAACGCGCGCTTTAATCTTATGGCGTGTTAATATATGTTGTTGTTGTGATTGTGTGTTTCTGCAGGATTTTTGTGCCTGGGATTGTTTGTCAGGATTTATCAATGGCCAGACTAACTGGAATCTATTTTAATCCATTTTTAAAAAATAAAAGCAATCATTCTAAGCTTTCATTATAAACTGTTCTCTTTCATCTGGTGGCAGGAAGGACCTCCTGTATCTCACACTCCGTTGGCTTAACATGATATTATGAAGTGGACGATCGGTGTCGTTAATGACATTCAAAATCTGGTGAAGTTCAAATTGAATTGAGGAATGCTGATAAAAATGAAAATGCAGATATTTGGAAAAATAAGGAAATTCTTTGGATTCAAAGGTTAAACGATAACACAGTCAATCAAACGCACAACGGTGGCGATCAGGTGGACATCAACGCTAATCTTCCCACTGAGGTTCTGGGTGCACGTTACAAGCTAGGTTGAGTAGTTTCCCTCTCATGCCTCTTCCACCTCTGTTTTGTGTGCTGATGTCATTCGTACATCTTCTTTGTTGATTGCAAATTAAGTTTAAATATAAAGCCACCCACTCTGTGCGTCTGTGGGCCTCAGGGCCAGAAGGTGCAATTGGACACGTTGTTTTCTTTAACATTCTCTATTTTCTGTCATTAATTCATGATTGAATTTAAGCATCAAAATTCCAGATCCAACCATGTACTAAACAAACTTTCTCCTCTGTGTTAGCAGGGATTTTTAAGAGGTTTTTCCAAAGTGAAAGGGTTTAAAGCATCTTCTTAATGTAAAGTCAGTCAGCAGAGGTTTTGGGCTTCACTGCCTGTTTACTGTATGCCAGCTTCTTTCTTTGTGATGCATTCTTGCCTTTCATTCCTTATTTTCTCTCGTGACATTAAGCAACAGTGCTTCTTTGTTATCTGTCCACACAAAAAAAGATGCCTTTTTTCTTTCACTTCCACCATTGCAGCCTCCTGACCCAACAGTACAGTACATTTTGATTTCAGTGTTTCTGGGAAATGTGAGGTTCCTCTCTGGTGTGAGATATTTTTCACACAGACAGATTTAAAAAGTATCTTTAAATGAGCATCAAAGTCAGTGAATCCTGCCTTCTTCTGTCTTCCAATCCTGTCCTGGTTAATGTTTTTTCCGCTATTATCAGATTCTTCTGCTGTTATCCCAAATGACTTTGGGTTGGACAAACCCAAACAGGTATAGCTGGATTATTTTCCAGGTTCTCTCAGTAAAGAAGTCCTTAACCCCAATAAGTTTCTGTAGCTTCTTAGGTTCGCTGTTCAGGTTTCTTGATCGACTGACTCAGACAGACAGCCTGTCATTTTAAAGTCTGATTGTCGGTTGAGATTACAAGATGGATTTTACTCCTCCAAAATGAGATGTTTTACTTTCTGTCAAACTGTCAGGTCACGACGGATATCATCTGGATTGAATTTTGATAGTCTGCATACACATACAGAGTTTGTCCTCTACAAGGGTCATATGATCGTCTGGGCCCGCCTACAACAATCAATTACCCCCCCCGTTACTATCTCCCTACTCCAGGACTGTTTAAGTTGAGGGGTAGCTATGTCTGCAAGAGCAGAACTGTGGATACAGATTGATGATTTGCTCTCAATGAACCTCTTGACTGATGTTTGCCGGGATAATCTCTGTCTGCTCAGGATGAATGGATTAAAAATGAATTACCCATGATTCTGCATTGATACCTGCCACACATTATACATTTAAATGATCATTTGTTAAGGGCTGGTGGTAAGCTGTGAATGACAAAAACACATGTTGTTGTCAGGCCTGGAAAGAGCAAAGACCACAACAGGATGTTGCTAAAGAATGCTTATAGATACAGACAGTTAAAAAAAAAGAATTTTCATGCATCAATTCGCTGAAAAAATTTTTTTTTAGCTCTTCCTAGCAGTTATTTTCCTTCTGCCGCTGCAGAGCTATTCACTCCATGAATATAGCTCAAGCAATTGGTGTCAAGTCAAATGTTTAATTCATTTCTCAATTAAGCTAAAAACATTTAATTTGAAAACATTCTATCTAATTATAGGATTCGTTCCTGCATGGTAAAAGTGTATTTGCATGTTATTTCAGTTTCAGTCCCACCAAACCAAACAACATGAGCTGATGTAAACTAGCTTTTTCATTGTCTCTAAGCTAGTGAGGTATAAAATGTAGGAATATTAAATCCAGATGTATGATAAATACCCCGCTCTGTAGGTTGTTCTGCCATTTCAAAGACGTAACATTCACATTTCTCAGCTCGTTTATTCAAAGTAACAGTTGGGGGAGGGTTATTTTTCTAAATGTAGACACCACAGCTAATAATTTGGGCGGTCAAATCCTGCTCCTCACAGCTGGACGGTGCTGGTTTTGTTTCCAGCTTCAGGGAAAATAAGATCGTATCAAATGGGTCGTCCACACAAGAACGCCCGTTTTGGAGATTTGGGGCCTATAAAGCTTCAGAAGCAATAAATAAATATCCAAAAGGGGAGCTTACAAAGCAACAAAGCAAACTAAAAAACCAAGTCGTGATATAATGTAAAAAGATATCAAACAAATCTGTTGAAACCAAAACATTTTAGGGGTTGGGGGGGGGGTGGGTGTCTTATTTTCCTTCTCCCTCTCTCGTTTCCTCCTGTAGGCTCGGGGCTGGTAGTTTAGCAACGGTCCCTGGCAGCAGACATCACGGCTCAAACAGCCCAGGGGAGGGATGGAGCTGAGATGGACAGGGAGGGAGACACCGGCTTACGACGTCAAAGGAGTACAGACACACACGGAGAGGAGAGGACCGCCGGCCAGACTGCCAGTTCCCCACGGTCCGCCGGAGGAAGTCTAACCGTTCAGCAAGCCACCAGACTCTCTGTTTTAGCCGAGCCAGTAAGAGATTAGTTCATTTTGTTTTTAGGGTTTTTTTTTTTGTTGTTTTTTTTTTAAAAAAACAAAAAAAAGACAGATTCAACTAGGAAGGAAAAAAAAAAGACGGAGCATCTGTCAGGGAAGAGTATTAGGGGGGATATTAAAAAAAACAAAAAACAAAAAAATATCGACGAGCAGATCTGATCTAGAAAAAGCACGCTCATGCCGAATAAAGGACCGTGGCTGGATGTTGCTTGTGCCGTTTCAGGGGGCGTGCAGGCCTAACTTGTTACAGGATTCAGAGACAAATGAACTGAGTAACTGAGGTTTGAATAACTGACTGACAGCGGGGGAAGGAAGAAGACAGGCATCCACCGATCGCTCCCATTTCTTCTTGCCACGACCAAGCACCACAGGTATCTCCCTCTCTCTCTCTTCCTCCCATAACTCTTTGTTGTTGGGCGTTTTTTTTTTGTTTTGTTGATTTTGTTTTGTTGTTGTTGTTGTTGAGCCAAAATGTGTGTGAGATCGCGTCCGGGTCATTGTTGTTGTCCCCGAAGCCCTGACAAAGGGAGCGAGGGTCTCCAGCTGCTTCTGCCCGGACTCAGGCTCTCACAGGCGGCCGAGGCTTCGCTCCACGGCCGGGGAGGCTTAGGGGTTTCAGCCACTGGAATAAACTAAAACAAAATAAATAAATAAACAAATAAACAAACAACGTAAGGGCATGTATGATCCAAATTGGAGATGGAGATCGTGTGTGCCCGCTCAGTGGATGTGGATCACAGTTGTTGGTCCACAATATCTGTGTGACGCCACACAAATATGACAGTTGTCATTTCTGTTGATGGATGGATGCAAGTTAACGTTTTGTTCTTTGACTTGTATGCAAGTGGAACGGTGAAATGTGGCTAAAACCAGTCATTTAAATCCAGTACATCCAGTTCCAATGCAATAAGGATTTTTATTTTGACTATTCATGCAAGTTTTTGTGTTTGTGTGTGTGTGTGTGTCTGTGGCTTTTTTTTTACACATAGCCTGTTCTCAGTGGTCTTGCTTCACTTTGTGAGCAGTGCGTTACTCTAAAGAGGCCCCTCAAAGTGTTTTCGAGCTTTCCTGTAAAATCTGTGCCACGACCTGTAAATCTGCCACCGTGTTAGGAGTGGTATTTTTTGTCTGGACGTACACAAAGCACCATTTCAGCCGCCCATTCCAACTCAACGCTCCCATCTGCACGTCCATCCCCGGCCTCCTGTTTGCACCTCCTGTGCAGTGTGAATCTAAGCCTGCAGGCTCCTGCCTGCTCCTCCTGACCGCCTCCACTCTGTCTATGTGTGTCTGTCTCTGTGTGTGTGTGTGTGTTACCGTTTCCTCTCCAGACTTCTCAATGAAGGAGCCTGACGCAATCAAGCTCTTCATCGGGCAAATACCCCGAAACCTGGAGGAAAAGGACCTGAAGCCCATCTTTGAGCAGTTTGGAAAGATCTACGAGCTGACGGTGATTAAGGACAAATACACCGGGATGCACAAAGGTAAGCCCAGTGGTTTTTGAGGCAGCTAAGGAGGGGAATATGGTTCAGATTGTCCAAGAAAAACACGATATCACCAGAGTTTCTCTTGTATATTGTCCAGGCGTTATTGAATTTGTAGTAAATATGATTTAGGTTAAATGACTCCTCATTGAGCTGTTGTCCCTTTGGAGCATTTTAAAGGCCCACGTGAGGCCAAACGCCCAAAGAGTCATTGATCCAGAGAGGAAGTGGAAGAACTGCTGTCAGTTCAGAGTTGATATCTTTAAACCAGCTGTAGATTTACATTATTAAACGGAATAATCTCTTTGAAAATGTAATTTCAGGTCATGGAAACATGATTAAAATACATTGGAAGATAAACCTATAAATCCAATCGTGGCTTTTTTCTTTTACCAAGGCATTTCGACATTTCAAGGGATGGCTGTGCCGGCCAATCCAACCAAAATGAGGAGAACACCAGTTTAAAATGAAGAAACCATGCCATGGAAGTTAGTTTAACAGAGAGTGTGTTTGAGGTTTTATATATTTATCTATTTCAGGTTTTCAGGTTTGTCCCTTTTCCACCCAAAGAGCAAATCAAACTAATTCACACTGAACCCCAGTAGCGCTTCTCAGTCCTGGAAGATAAGACCATATGTTACCAAGTACCATTTTCATTTTTCATGCCACAGTGCTGTGAGCCCAATCCATCAAGGAGTTTCTTTTTGGAGTCTCGACTGAAGGCTGAAGGAGGCGGCTCCAGCTCCTCATGTATAGAAAACCTGTCAGACACGCGGCCATCATTTGATAAAGCAATTTGCAAAGAGCAGAGAAATTCTCTTTGCTTTCCAGACAAATACACTTTTATTCGAGTCTATTTGCTCTGCTTCCTCCCTGCAGAATATTACAGGAAAATGTTTCATACACACAGTCATAATTCCTGTTGGTTTAAAGACGCGAGGCTCTGAGTCTTTACGTTTTTTTTAAAATAAATGTTCACCACAAGGAGCTACTTTGGACCAAGAATTGTTTGAATGTTCCCCATGGGCAACAGATTTGAATCCAAATAAAAAACACAAAGGTCAAAGTTTGAAAGTGAAAATTGGGAACCAGCAGATTAAATGTCAGCGAATGAGCGCTCATTATTAACATTAAAGCAGTTTTGTCCAGATCAATCGTGAAAAATAGCATTTAGTCTGTCAATGACCGCTTTCATATGGTGGTATCAGTCAATTTACGAGCATTTCTTCCTCCCTCTTCTGCTCCTTTTCATCTCATGCTGTGCAGGCTTCTCATATTTTGGAAGAAAACTAAGAAGAAAAAAAAATTGACAGATGGGACGAAGCGAGGGAAGCAATCTAAGCTAAACAATGATCCTTACTGTCGTTTCTAATGCAAATCTGTGCAAGGAAAACAAAAGGCTTTTAAAAATCCACAAAAACCATCAGTCATCTGGGAGACGTAGGGCCACCTGGTATCAGTCCTCTAACACCTATAACACCTATTCTGCATATATTTACATATTCATGATTTTAGGGAGCCTTAAAGGTTAATGAAGGCCTCTCTCTATTATGTGCGACTGCATACATTTTGCTTGAACAGTGTGGCATTAAATACTCATTCCGACCGCGTGCGTTGCCAGATATTATGATTTAATAATCTCATAGATCTCAGGTGGTGCCCGGGAGAACCATTTCATCATTTCTTCAGGCTCCAGAAAATGTAAACACACTCTGACCTGGTTTCAGTGCCGCTGCTGAAACGGGCGTTATGCAGCAGGCAACATACCATACGCTCTCCCATTTGCATATTTGTTTTATTTTTTTGCCTCCCGTCTTTCTCCAGGATGCGCCTTCCTCACGTACTGCGCGCGGGAGTCGGCCCTCAAAGCCCAGAATGCACTGCACGAGCAGAAGACCCTACCGGGGGTAAGTGTGCCGCCTGCCTCTCTGAGTCCTCGTGAGTTCCAAAAAAAAAAGATCAGAAGGAGTGGAGCGGTGGGCCTTCCGAACGCAAACACAGCCGGACACTTTGACCTCGAAGCAAGTTTCCCCCCTTTAGCTGATATTCTCTAATAAAGGTCGTAGACTGCCCCCACTCCCCCTCCCCTCCCCCCTTATGTTTCATATGTGATGCATCCAGACATATCCATCCAGTTGAGGCATGAGTCATCTTGCTTACATGTCACGGGTCGAGAGGGACGGCCATGAGGCTCAGAGCTGGAGTGGTGTTGCCAGCTCATATTCTCGACGATGGTTTTTCTTTCTGCGTCTCCTAACCCCCCCCCCCCCCCCATCCCCCCACCACCACCACCACCTCTCTCTCCGAATTCTAATCAAAGTTAAACCTAGCTTTATTAGCATAGCCAGGCAGCAGGTGTGCTGCCAAATGACATTTTCAGAGCTAAATATGACATGACAGCCGCGTCTCTATAATAACCGTCTATAAGGGAGACAAGGCGACAAGGCAAGGAATTACTGAGACAGAGTGTGCTCCCAGACTTGCTGCTGCTTCCTCTTTTGCTAACAAGGCGTTACCCCTGTTTCCTTTTCTGGTTATTTTTGTTCAAATCTACATCATTCACTTCTTTTTTTCCCCCCCACCCTCCCTCTCCTGAATGTCAGCTCGTGAGTGTAGTTTTAGAGGGGGGGGGGGAGAGGAGACGAGGGTGTAAAATGTGGAGCTGCAACTAAAAGATTATTTTCAGTATCAGTTAATTGCTTAGTTTGAAAATAGCAAACCAGCCTGAAACAGTATCACAAAATTAGTGATGATGCTGACAAACAGCCATGATTTGTCCTTGGAACAGCTAAAACTTAAAAGGAAAAGAGCTTAAAACCTACACGGATGAATCACGCATTCATGGAGCTGCAAACAATCCATTTTTTCCTGCTAAATTCTACTAGTTTAATGGTTGATGAACAGAAAGATATCATCTTAAAATTCTCTCAAATGTGAAAAATATGCGACAGATTTTTTTTCCATTTTCTTTTTTTAATATTTTATTGACACAACAGTTCTTGTTTGACAAAAACATTCATTTGTTGGATTTCAAAACCCAACAGGGGGCTTAGAAGCCAAATTTCAATGAGCTGAACTCAAATCTATATTTCTAAACTAGAAATGATTGTTATTTACTTTACAGATCTTTCATTTTCTGCTAATGAAGCTCTGAATGCTGTGAGGGCAGACAAGAGGCAGTATGGAGAGGATCGATCTGTCCCTTTACATCCTAAAGCCAAAAAGATTGGCACAATATTTTCTGAAAACACATTCTAGAAGCTGTGAACAGTTACAAAAACAAAAGTGTATTTCTATAGTCGTTGATAGATGTAAAAACAATGATGATTACATTTAAAGAATTACTGTTCTTCTTTGCCCTGTGTTATACACTTTTGAGTTGCGTGTTAAAATCTCAGGTCGAAATAAGATGTTTTAAAAATAAAAATGGAATTATCCATAAAAACAGACCAGAGATTTTCATAGAGGTTGGATTCACAGACACGTATTGTCTTATATTAGAAATGAAGTTTGTGACCGTAGTTTTGGCAGGAAAGAGGCGACTGGGAGATGAGTGGGCCGTTATTAGGATGGTGACAAAAGAAATCCCATTGTTAGTGTGACAGTAGTGTAACCTTTCTGACCCCTCATAGGGGATCAGCAGGGCCCAGTGCCCATACAACCCCCCCCCCCCGTCCATCCGTGTTTCTACTCTATAGCGGCTGTCCTCCTCACAACCTCTTACCTCTAAGCCATGTGGAACAAGCTAAACCCTCCTGTGTCTCGCCAATCCTTCCCTCCCCCCCTGCCTTGCCAAAGGAAGGGGCGAAAAAAAAAAAAAAAAAAGGACGAAAACCATCTTATTAGCTTCGTGCACGCCCACGAGGACAAGATCTGCTTCCACCCCTGCCACCAGCTGTGGTGTAATTGTCATGTAATTGCACCTGCGCTGCCAAAGAATAATTAACTTTGGCATCTCGTGGTCAGGGCGATACAAAAGGAATAACATGATAGCAATTATAAGAGTGAGAGGCCGGGGCCTAAATGAAAGCACACCTGAATGTAGCGAGGGCTGGCTGAAAGACGTCATTTAACAGTCAGAGCTGCTTTTTTTTTTCCCGAAAGAGTCACTCACACCGCTCTTTTGTCACCGCTCACAATGGAAAAGAAGAAAGACGAGGGGAAGAAAGAAAGGGAAAGAATTAAGGCAGGGGACGAGCAGATGGTGGTATCAGGGTGGCACCTGGGCTTGTGTTTAATTTCAGGTGAGCGTGCGTGTCTCTGGGAGGAGAGGCGGCGTCAAAAGCAGCTAAAAGCCAGCAAAGAAAGTGAGAGCGGCAGAGTTGACAAAAGGGAGAGGGGAGGGGAAAAGGCACGGGCAATACAGCAGATTTCCTCTGATTGTGGAGGTGGAGTTTTCTTCCAAAGCTGCATTCAATCTGGACTACGTGGACGTCTTGTTCTCTCTGTTGTGGCCTCTTCCTGGTTTTAGTCTCAGGCTATCTGTCTGGCCTGGTCAGCTGTAGGGAAACGCACCGAGATGGTGACATTTGCATCTCGCCACTTTAAATTAGAGCCCGTACACAAAGCAGAATCCGAAGAGAAGCCGCAACCCAGAACTGGTGAATTTGCACAGTTAATGCGATCAAAGAATTAGCCGGACAGATTTTTAAAACACTGAAGGAGAAAAAGGGAAAATAAATCTCCATATTTGGATTTTTTTCTCAGTTTGCTTAAGAGTTTGTGACAGAATACGGAACATAGCAATTTTCTTTTAAATGTGGGTCAGATGAAAACATTTTCAGATGGCTCTGGGAACCTTTTATTTAAAAAGCAGACATAACTAAAAGAAAGTGTCTGACATTTTGTGATGTTTACTTCCTGCTCGAGAGGTAGAGGAAAAGATCACCAAACCTCTGCTCTCTGTTCTTTAAAATTGAACCTTCTAATAGGAGCAGGCTGACTTAGCTCTGCAAAAAGGCTCAAAACTGGGGAGGAAACGATGGCTTTGCTTCAGCATGGGTTTTAGTGCCATATTTACAAGATGCAAGTAAGAAATGGGTACCGGAACCTGAAACAAGGACGATAATATGCAAAAACGTTAATACACGCACACTGAAGTGTTGAAGAAAAAAATGTATGAGTGTTCGGTGGGAATGAATAAAATGTGTCTGACCTCAAAAAGATAAAGATGTGACTCACCAGGTGTTTCAAGTCTAAGCCGGCAGACATGAACTCACGTCGTTGCCCGGCAATATTTGATATGACATCTCAGATCTCAGAGATCTAGGTTGTGGGCAACTTACGGATGTCCACCGCATGTCCTTCCTCATTGATTGCCGGCAGGATGGCCACTTCTTTTTCACTGCTTTACAGTTTCTGTCGGCATAACTTCTATCTCCACCCTCTGGAGACGGGAAGCTGTCAGCTTATTAGCGTCTGGGATTTGCGGCTCTTATTTTCAGCTTTTTAAAAAATATTGTTTTCAGATTTGATATGCTGGTGAACGGGGGCCCGGCTTCTCTAAAGCCCACGCAAGAACATGTTACTTTTTGTTTAAGTCAGACAACACCGCCTCGCTCTTTTGTTTGAAACCTATTATCTAAATTTAATAGTGTGTGTGTGTGTGTGTGTGTGTGTGTGTGTGTGTGTGTGTGTGTGTGTGTGTGTGTGTGTGTGTGTGTGTGTGTTGTATGTGTTCATGTTCAGGGGGGAGCAGGCAGGGCAGGTGTTCACCACTGACACGTCTTAATGAAGGGTGTGTGCTTTGCTGCGTGGGTGTGCGTAACTGTTTGCTTTTGTGCGCACGTGTTTTAGAGCAGAGTACACATCCGAACACACGGGGTGTGAGCTCCGGGTTTTTTATTATGAGCTCTGCTCGGGGATCCTTCATTCACACTCTGCAGTGTGTGTGTGTGTGTGTGTGTGTGTGTGTGTGTGTGTGTGTGTGTTTGAGGGGGAAATCTGTGCTTCGGTGTTTGAGCTGCCCAAACCAGAGGAAGGAGGCCTCTTTGAGTGGAACGTCTGACTAAGCCTGACATTTACTCAGACATGGGGAAGGCAGAGCAGACACGGGGTGTGTGTGTGTGTGTGTGTGCGTGTAGGGGAGGTTATCAATAGTCAGAAAAAATGCATAAACTATATATAGCTCAGGCTTTTACTCAGGATAAGAGATAGGAAGTTATAATGAGGATGCTGTGATCCGGGGGCTTAATGTCTGGACAAACATCCAGCCATTACAGTTGGACGCAAACAAATAACGCCAACTCATTCAACCGCTGTGTTGATTTATTTATTTTTTTAGTGTTATCTAAGCTGATAGAGCTCATGTTTTTAAGTATTACAAGTCAAAAACCACCATTCAGGCCCTGGCGTGTGAGCGTGTGACCCGCCACGACCATCTGACAAAGGAAGACGGAGCCCTGCCTTCCCTACGTAACCTACATCTTCACACCAGTGAGACGTGAATGCTGATGGTACCAATTAGCGAGTGCGTTCACTTGATGAATCTGAGCGGAGTTAAGTGTGCATTCATGCGTCGATTCATTTCCATATGCATGCATATCAACGCGCCGCGGGGACGGCGCAGGACAGGCGGGCGCTGACTGACAACAAAAAAAAAAAAAGAGGGCTCGTCCTCTGTACGTCACTCCGAGGCGACTGTAATGATGAATGCAGATTGGATTCATCATTCATTGCATCCACAGAGGTGGTAAAAGGGTGTGAATTAGACGGGAATTGGATTAATGAGGGGTGGGGGCAGCGGCGAGGAGGAGGAGAAAGGGGGGAAATGAATGCAAGTTTGACATAATGGAAAGCTGGTGGCGGCGAGGGGGTGGAGGGGGCCGGAGGTGCATTGAGGCAGAGTGTTTATCAGCTTAAATACAGACATCTGTTGCTGAGAATTAGTGTCTTTTGGGGGTGGGGGTCGTGGGGGGGGGCTTGGGAGTGTGCAAAGGCAACTGGAGAGGCTGCTCCTGAGGCACTTTGAAGTTTGCAGGACTAGATATAGAATGACCACGTCCTCGCATGGAGAGGGGCAGAGTTGAAGTGTGTAAAAATTGTGCACAAACTAAAACAAAAGTAGGGCACAGAAATACGTACACGAGTCAGTCCCCCACCCCACCCTGGCCCCCCCCCCTCCGCTGCGCCGAATCGAGTCAAACAACACTTGACATGAATATTTAACATTCACAAGAGACAAGACAATTGAGAGTCAACTGGAGTGTTGTTAGAAATTTGCTCTTTGATATTCGCTTTTCTTCACTTCGAGGGATTTTTCTGTTGGCTGTCTGACAAAACGGCGCCTCAGCTCCAGGAGCTGTCAGCCTCGTTGGAAAAAACCGGACAGGCGATTGAACCCCCCGTTAGATGGGAGACAACAGGGGGGGAGGCAGCTCCGGCTCGGAATATTTGGACATTGATTAAATATTATTGAACTGTACCGCTGTTGTGCTGTCTGTCTCTTTGTGTTGGATTGATTTCGCGGCGACTGGCAGGAGAAGCTTGAGTTTCTCTCCACTTCGGAGTGCTTGCCCGCTCATGTGTGTGCGCATCTGCGTGTGCATCCACGTGTGGAAACATTTACCAGACTGCAGTTGTGTATCTCCTGCTTTGTTCCGTCTCTATGTGTGATTTCCCAATCAGGTGTATCTCTTTCGTCTTTTCGTCTTTTTTTTTCTTCTTGAAAATGTCTGTGTTTTTTTTTTTTAATTTTTCTTTGGGGGGTTGGGGGGGGGGGGTGGGGGGCTGGGGGGGGGGGGGGGGGGGGTGTTGGGGGGATGGGGTGGGTTGGGGGGCTGGCAGGTTGATTACGGTCGCAGGTCTCGTTGCCTGGAGACGGCTGGGACGAGGGATGCCAGGTTGCTAGGCAACCAGCAGGATGCAATGACCAGCGCTGTGTGATGGAGCGGAGGGGAGGTGAAGATGGAAAATTGTCTTTGTGTCCCCCCACCCACCCTCCACCTCCACGCCCCACCCAGCCACCCCTCCCTACTCCTCCTCCTCCTCCTCTTCCTCCCCCACCCGCTGCCCCTCCAGCTCTGCCTCCCCGCTGTAAATGTTCTTGAAAGAGCAGGGTTGATGGTGATATGTTTACCATTCAGAGCGGCTGCTTTTTTAGGGCAGAGACACAGAACGGATTGAAAAACAGGCGGCGGAAATGTGTCACTCTCACACGGCCGCGGCTGATTTGACAGAATTACCATCGGCGGCTGCCCGGGGGGGAGGGTCACAGGGATAATCACCTGATTTTCTGGTCACAACAGAGACGCGTGAAAAATTGTCCCCCCTCACTCCATCAGCCGGCCCACATCGCATTTGTGTAGGAAAATGAAAAATGAAAACGCATTCAGAGGGTAGTGAGTGGCACACCTCCGCGTCTGACTGTTGACGGGCAGGGAAGAGTGGGGGTCATGCATTATGATGGAGGGGCTGACCAGTGATTTGATTGGATAATCTATGGATTTAATATCTCGTAATCCTCGTCAAATCCCCAGCGGCATCAGAGGAAGAAAAGTCTCTGTAGATATGTGCTCAGGAGCAGACGGCGTGTGTTTAGTCGGAGGATGATTGTATATAATGTCTGCTCGCTGTTGTCAGAGACAGAGTGCAGGGGGGTGGGGGAAAAAAAAAAAAAGAAAAAGTAATAGCAAACGCACAGTGGCACAATGGGCTGTTGATCAGGCAGGTTTTTGCCTGTGTATTATCTGTGCACAGTATGGGACTGTTTTTGTAAACAAGCTAAAAGGGAGGGGAGCAACAGGATGAGGATGAGGAAGAGGAGGAGGAGGAGGAGGAGGGGGAGAGCAAATTACTGTAAAGTGTGTGTTAGTGGTTGAGGCTTCGAGGGAGATATTTTCCTCCCTGATTTTGCATCTGCTCCTCACGAGGCAGCGCCGACATTCAACAGGCATGAGCGCTCCTTCCATTATCGCTCTCTCTTTTATTTTTTAAATATTCAGTGTCTTTCGTTCTCCCCCTCCCCCGGCTCGCCTCTCCCTTCCTCCCTCAAACATCTAATCCCTACATCTCTTGACCTAGAAGCACCCTTTGTCCTTCTCATTTGATGTTTTTTCATGCGTCCCTTCCGCACGTTGCCCGGGGTAACCTTGTTTACCTGATGTGAGGTTCTCATCACTGGGGTTGTCATGACGATGGCCATGTGAGCACAGCCCTGATCAGAGCGGAGGGACCGGTTGCCGTGCCGATCTGAAGTGGCGCAGCCTTTATGGCCTCCACTTCTCACTGTTTTCCCTCTTGTATATTCTAATTCCAATCTCCTGGGCCATCTGCTGCGCCTCTCCTTATCACCAGCACCACCACCGCCTTCACCGCGCTCCCCCCCGCAGTGAAATATGGGCCACGGGATGTTTGTTTTTTTCCTTCCACATCAATCAAAGATGTCGCATAAACTAACGTCATGTGTTTTTTTCATGGCTTTAGTGCAAAAATATCTTATCTGTCTGGAGTCTGGTTTTCGGTTTTGAGTTTGAATTTTTATCCATGTTTCTAATAATCTTGAGATTTAGGAAATTAAGTCATTTAAAGGGTTCATGACTTTTTTCATGACCAAAAGCAATTTTGGGGTTTAAAGGAAAGAGCCGCTTTTACTCGGGAAAACAAAAGATTTATTTGCTGAAAGCCAGTTTTTAACTCTTAAAATGATTTATTCCTTTGTTATGAAGGAGGTTTTCTTTCAATGGAATGGCCAAAACAAAGCTCCAAGAAGAACCAGCAAGTGACCAAAGTAAAATGGGAAACTTGCTTAAAAGGACTTCATCAAAATTAGAATAGGTGTTAAAAAAGCATACAAATTATAATGTAACTTGTGATTCACAGCAAGAAAATGTGTAAAAATGTCAGATTAAATGAGGCTGAGCGCTCTTTGCTGTGGGCGTGCAAACAGAATAAGAAGTGAGTGGTGCAGTGGTGAACACTGGACAAGAGACATCGGATGGGCGCTCTTGTACCAACAGAGGTGATATTTATCGAGAGCTTTACCGTGACCACGTAGATTTCGGCATTTTGGCCCAGTGCTGGGCCCAGGCTTCTTCTCCGCCGCATGTGGGGAGAAAACTTTCCCCGTAATCCAAAGTGGAATTACTATTCACTGTCTGCAGGAGCAGACCTCCATTTGCTTGACTGATTGGAAGACGGTTCTGACACGTTGCCCCTCCATCATCCCATTAATTGGCGCAATCAATTGGATGCTCTTGATGAAGGGACGCAGGCCCCTGGGCGGCAGCTGCTGCTGCTGGTGTTTCAGCCGGCTGGTTCAGGGCCGGGGCGGCGGGGAGCGTTTGTGCATGCGGGTCGGGGACCGCGGCGCTGATCGATCGCATCTCCCGGTGACCGATCACAGCGGATCAATCAGTGACACGGGATCAGTGACTGGCTGAAATGTCACCAGCTCCATAATTAAGACCTTCATTAAGCCACAGTTAACAGAGTGCCACTCTGTTGCTCTCACCTCAACTCCTCACCCCTCCCCTCCTTCTCCTGTTTTGCATGCACTTCCCCCACCTCCCCTCCTTCCTTCCCTCCATATGCTCCTTTCCATTCCCTTCAATCCCCTCTCAATCCCACCCTTCTCCCCTTTCGGCCCGCTCTTGTTCATTCTTTGTCTTCATTTCATTCAACATCTCTTTTCACCATTTTCATGCTCTATACATTTGAAGGACAAGCTGCGAAGCCGCCGATGTGTGCCCGGCTCCACATAAAGCTTCGGTTAGATGGCACTGAGGACGCTGGAGTTGTAAGAGGGGGGAAAAAAAAGACATTTCAGCCGCTCGGCTCTTAATGAATTATGAAAAGGTTAATTCTTCTCAATGCTGTGTGGTCTCAGTTTCCTTTATCATTCTCTGTTTTTTCAGTTATGATTCCGGCCTTTCCACCCCTGTAGACATCCATCTCTGCCTCTCAGTCAGGCTCAGAATATCTCTGTATTCTGATGCTGCATGCTCCTTTAATCCAGATTAGCTGGCGAGTGTTCTTAATCTTATCACTTCGCCAATCCTGCGTGGGTGTGTGCTTTTCCTGGTTTTGTGTGATAGGGGGAGAGGGAACGGTAGACGGTAGGATTAGAGCCGATTCTAAGAGAGCTTTGGGGGGGAGGAGGAGGGGGGAGAAAGAGGGGCTGTATGGCGGTATGACGCTGCAGATGTAATGTGGCACATATCTGTGTCTGCCGCCGTTTGCTGGTCCAAAAACAAACAAATAAACAAACATTAAAACAGGGAAAGAAGACAGATATGTGTTTAAGTGAGATGGTAGCACAAACCAAATTTACACCCTCCATGAATGCACAGATTTGCCATCGTAGGTTCACATGAAGGGGTGTTCACAATCACACGCATCTCCTCTCGTTTAAAACACAGTAGCGGGTACATTTCCTATGAAACAGCAAGGGTCGACACTCGTTTCCATTTTGTAAGTGTTTCTGGCCTTGCCTCGTTAATCCCCGCGCTGACGGCCGCCACTGAGCTGTGTTTGAACTGACCGTGTTGTCTGGCCTCTTTCCAGATGAACCGCCCAATCCAGGTGAAGCCGGCGGACAGCGAGAGCAGAGGGGGTAAGAGACACCTGTCCCCTCCCAGACACGCAGCAACTGTTCAAACAAAGCCACGAAAACATCCAAGATAACAAATCAGTTGGGCTTGGAAACACGTTTAAACGCGCACAAGTAGTTTTTAAGACTCTGGTGGTATCAGGTGAAACCTGGTGCTCAACGAATATTCAAGAAATGATTTACTCAGCATGAAAAACACATAAGATCTTACATCTGTAGCATATAGGCTATCAGACACTGACAGCACTGGTTATCCATGCAGCGTCCCCTGTTCTTTTAACACTATCCAGCCAAAACATAATGACCATGCAAGGACACCAGAGATTGTACTGGGGCTTCTGGTGTTAAGACATTAGAACCAGAACCAGATTGGTTTCTTGGTAAATTGGAGGCTGGGTGAACATCTCAGACTCGTCTGGCCTTTCCTGTCCTGCTCGGGGAGGCTGAGGCTGAAGTGTTGCCTTTTGTGGGAAAGTGATGGCCCATGAGCATGTTTAATGTTTGAGTCTTGTAACCCTGCACTTTGACACACAGTTAAACTATATGATGCAGAAGTGACATGGTGGAAATAATCCCCAATATGGCTGCGATTTAATCGGCTATGAAACTGTTTAAGTTCTACTTTCGAGTTTGGAAATGCTTTTGCTTCCCTGAATTACACAAAAGTCCACTACACAAAAAACAGAAATGCCCCTTCGGGCCACATTTTGTAAATGAATGATTTAAACTTGAGAGTGTGAAAACAAAATTCCATCCGAACTTCAGAACTACAATAAATACATTTGGCTTTTTTATTGTATATCTCCCCACCCCCCAAAATTGCCTGATGGCAATAAAGAACTCATGTCACTGATTCATAAACTATTCCCTGCCTTTCCTTTGGCTTGCCCTCAAAGCCAGGCATATTATAGAACTGGTTATGGACCTTTAACCAGATCAATCTTTAGATGATTTTTCCTCCTGTTGCTCTCCAAAACACACACTGCTGTTGAATTCAAAATGAGCCTTTATATATACGAAACAGCAACATTTTAAAGTTTCATGGTTTTATTTGTAATCTTTGTGCTATAAGAACTTCTTTAAAGGGTTCAGATTATTAGCAAAGCACTGTATTCACTTTGCATTTAAAAATATCATTAAAAAAACAGAATCATAGACGTTACACATGAGTTTAACAGATATCTCGTTTTTTTAATTGACCTTATTAAGCCAATGGAACTAGCAGACACACAGTCGTTTTAAGTCAACATAACAGGGGGTTTTGTCTTCAGTCAAAATTAGGCTGAAAGATGGCAAAACCCTGAATGATTAAAAGAAGAGGCGTGTTGGTTTAGCAAATGAGAAACCCCCGTGTCTAATAGGTGCTGAATTTGAAAGGAAAACATAAGAAAAGACCAATTCCTCATGTTAACACGGTTCACTTTCCCACTTGTTTGTCCTCTGGTACAGATTTTCTGAGAGCAAAGAGGGAGAATTCGGTGATTTTCATCTGCCGACATTTAAAGGCTCCCTATCAACACGCTGCACAGGCAGGAGTGTCTAATCAAACCACATTCTCATCAGCAGCGTCCCTGACATTTAAGCTCAACAGTATGTAAAAGACAACAGCACGGCCGCTGTGGCCGATTCTATCTCAAGCTTCTGGATGCTTCGGTCTGTGGTGTTTTTATTTCCACAGTAGCCTGCGGGAATGTAAATGTAGTGATTTGTAGCGGTTGCAGAATCACTGGTTTGATTCTTCAGGGACAGACGGCGCAGCTTCTCAGAGGATGACAAACATTTGAGTCACCGCCAGATGCTGCTTGTTTGCCCATGTTACTGCACTCTGGTGGCGCTCGCTAGTACAGCAGGCTGAAGAAACCAGCCCCTGCTTTTGTTGGTCCCATTATGGCTGTTCATGCATGCACACAGACATGACACCTTTTTTCCTTTCACTGCCCGTCTTACCTCTCCCATAAAATGTCTCCCCCCTTCCTCTTTAATCTCACACACGTTGCCCACACATGCCTCCTGCTTTCTCCCTCCCGTCTTGGCAACCTCCTTCTCCTTAGAAGACAGGAAGCTGTTTGTGGGCATGCTGGGGAAACAGCAGACGGACGCCGATGTGAGGAAGATGTTCGAGCCGTTCGGCAGCATAGAGGAGTGCACGGTGCTCCGCGGGCCTGATGGGACCAGCAAAGGTAACACACACAAGCACACACAAACCACAATCTGAACGTGAAGCACATTGAAAAGGAAACTGCGAAAATAAACACTGAGGGGAAATCTTTTCAACCAAAACTGATCCTTCTCTGACTGATATGTCAGATTTAGCATTAGTTGTGCCACAAACACTACAGAAAGACTCAAAAGAATAGGATGTTTTATAACAGCTTTTTAATGAAAACCAACTTAATCATATTTTTGCTGCCTGTTTAATTTTTTTAGGGTGTGTACACTTCACACAATCTCCTGTAAATGATCAGGCACTTTGTCATTTCAAGTTCCAGCATGTGACACTTAAGGCCTTGATTGTAATACGTATATTACATAACATGTAATATGCATGTATTATGATAATACATACTCTCAGTATTCTAAAATCCCATGAAAAGACAGATTTTTTTCTCCCTCTTGTCCTTTAAAAAGAAAGCCTTTTGCCTATTTCTTTTAAATATTAGTCATTTAAAATGTTGCGCCTTTCAAAGTTCTGCGCTGTACCCTATTTTGACCTTAATACAACAGCAAACAACTCCTCTCTATAACGGCCTACTGATGTTTTGTGCTTGCAGTGTATTTCCTGCCGAAAACCTAATGTTGTTAAGAGATTGCCCATCTCTTTCCGAGCAAATGACGTCCAAATGCCCTATTGCAATTAGCAGACAGTCGTGGCCAATTGGATGTTCGTGACTATCCAGATGGCCACATGCCCACCACTCCTTGATCTCCCTAAGAAAAGTGGCATTTGCCTTCTGCAAACAGAATTGTGGTGTAAAAGGAAATGTGATTGGGCCTTAACAAAGTACCTTCTTGAGTCTTTCTGTTTTATCAGAAATATTTGTGGTTGTGCTGACTGGTGCTGCTGCTGACTTTCATAAGGTGGCATGTTATCCCTTTGTGTATTTGCTCCACACCAATCCAATTTTGTTCAAAAATACAAGCAAAATGCAAATAGACTGCAAGAGTGGAATGACATCTTCTGCTAAGCTGCACCAGATTGTTGTGATGGACAGAGAGCTGAAACATTAGGGAAAAAGTTCTTGTTTAGTCAGTATTCAAACCCTTACCTGGGCTGACGAGATTTGGGTAGGAACTGGAAAAAGAAGCAGATATAAGCAGCCAACATGAGTTTTAACTATAAGGAGGCTTAGCTCAGCCATCCAGAGAGGAAGTTCAAGCATCTGTTTAGGATGCCTCTGGCACACCGTCCGTCGGAGGTTTTCCAGGAAAGCCTATCTATTTGGAGCTCCTGAGGTTGACCCCAACGCTTCCCATCTGCTCTTGGAACGCCAACGAATTCCCCGGGAAGGTGGCGGAAAACCCTCCTAGGAGACAGGCGCCCGTAATATAGATTATCCTGCTGTCATTCTTCTGACACTCACAGCATCATAATGGCAAGAGGGCCTCTCTTGTCGGGCACCCAGCCACCATGATCAGCATCAGCGTCCTGCAGTATCGCTGGCAGCTGCTGCGGGGATTAGGGCATGATGACAGTCAACAGCAGCGTCGCTGATTCAGTGACGGGCTCTGCTTCTGGCACTTTATCTGACTGGGGGAAGTTCACTCGTATCTCTATCCAGACTGATGCTTCATTCCTACGCCCGCTGAGTTTTTGGCTTCTGTAAATATTCGTACACTTCAGCATAATTAGACACACCGAACGACCAAACTGCCTCAAATCAAAATAAGCCGCTCATATTTGTCCAAGTGAAATAAAACAATCGGGCAAAAAAGAGGACTTTAAGATTCCCCCTCTGCAATCTCCAGACGAGCCTCGATTCAAATATCCCTCAAGTGCTCTGAGAGAAAATGATCGCAGCTGAACTCCAGGTCGTGTATTGACTTTGTTTAACTGTTTGTAACACTAAGAATGAAGCCCGGAGCACATTTCAGCACATGATATAAATGACTATTGTCACCACCAACAATGCTAATGACATTTGCCGTGTAAATCAAAGTCCAGCGACAGTTCAAACACAGATGCTAGATTTTTCTGCATTTGTTGCATGAGCCATGACAAATAGTGCAATAGGTTTTATGGGTCATGGCTAATGGTGCGTTTGATGGTTTACGGGGCTTTGATTGATGAAGCAATGAATGTTCTGTGGACCATGTTTAATGATGCCACAGTAACTGATGGAGCAGTGGATGTAAGATGGCTTCTAATGTATTTTTAAAGGGAAGTAGTTTTGTAATATTGCGCGTGTGAAGCTGCGTGTGTGTGTGTGTGTGTGTGTGTGTGGCCGCGTTTAATGATGTGTCGTTTCATGTAGGGTGTGCATTTGTGAAGTTCCAGAGCAATGCAGAGGCCCAGGCCGCCATCAACGCTCTGCATGGGAGTCGCACTTTACCTGTGAGTCCCCAGGCTAAACACACACGACTTCACTGGGTTGCAGAAACACACACATGGTCTCATTCAAATAGATCAGGGACACGCTCAGATGCTCCAAATCCAGTCATTTAGACACTCAGTGCGGTGACTCAGCTAATAGTCACCACTTCTCATTTATGCCCCTCCTCCACACACACTCCTATAAAGTAGAGGACTCAATGTGGTCATCTGCTTTTTTTTGCGTTGACCACATGAAAACACCAGCTGACTTTAATAAAGAAAAAACATAACCTTTAGAAGAATGAAAATACATGTTTTGAACTAACTGCTAATCTGCTCTTGAATTCCAATTTGATCTTCATTTAAACAACAACAAATAATAATAATAATAATGATGATTCAGCTTTAGCTTTATTAGTCATTTTACAGATAAATTACAGAGAGTCAAAGTTTTTGGGAGAAACAGAAGCTGAGAAATGAGGTGTTTTTTGTGGGAGGCTGCAGCTTCCTCCATCAAAACCTGTACTACGATTTCCAGCTGGCCTCCTAGTCACTCGCCTCTACAGATTGTAACGACGGAGGCAGATCATCAGCTTTACTGGCTGGTGAATATGTAAAATTTTGTTCAATATTTTGTCCCCCTTTGCAGCTTCATGCAAATCAATCTTTTGTTGTGGGACTACTGTTAAGTACTTTCATTATAAGACAAAGGCAAACATAACTAACCTCCAAACGCTTCCCATGATTCCTCTGTGATTTCCTTGATTTGATCACTTTTCATGTTCAAAGGTAGGTCAGCAAAAGTCTCTTGACCGACATGAACCAGGGACCTTGTGAATAGTGGTCTGTTATTATAGATTTTTCAGAGCCGATGTCGATACAGATTATTTAGAGAGCAGGGCAGCTGGTGGCAGGTCTAAAATGTCGATTTCATTAAACACAAAACTGCTGAACTCAAATGAACATTTATTGAATATGATTAAGTCTGAATGGCTTCTGTTTGTTTAAGTAGGTCTATTCTGCATTCTGTAATATGCAGCAGTGACATAAATGTCCATCAATATCGAAGTCGAAAGCACGGTTAAACAGGACCCACACAAACAAAGTTTGTTGCCTACAGAGAAATCATCAGTGCGGGTAATTAAAGGCCTTTTTCTGGACGGGATTGCAGCTCAAATGCCTCACCTGTCTCCGCCTGAGGGGGGGGGGGGGGTTTGGCCTCCCGACAGGGAGCTGAGATTCTCTGCCTTTTCTCCTCCGCAGGGCGCCTCGTCCAGCCTGGTGGTCAAGTTTGCCGATTCGGAGAAAGAGCGAGGGCTTCGGCGGATGCAGCAGGTGGCCTCCCAGCTGGGGGTCATCAGCCCCATGACCCTGCACCTCGGAGCCTACAACGCCTACACACAGGCCGTGAGGACCACACAGTCAGACACACACTCCTATGGGAAAAATATTTAGCTTTTAAAGGGATGCGGAGGTCTCCTCGTGTCTTTAACTGTGAAACTCACCGAGGGTATCGCCGGCTATCGGCTTCTCCCGTCTTCCTTATGCTTTTTGCTTTGTCTGCCTTCTTTTTTTAGAATCTGTCTGCGCCCGACTCTCACTTGACATTATGCCTTGTTTGATTGCTGGAAAGAGAAATAGACAGAGACCTTGAACCCTACGTGCTCCGTTCTCCTGCCGACCGCAGGAACAGTCTAATGGGAGAGATCCGTTGTAACTTTATCCCTCTGAGTGCATCCTGATTGGCTGTGAATAACATTTACATGACAATTGGTAGTTTGTCCATTGATCAGTCTGTGGTGTGAGCATGGCTAGAGAGCTCAGAGGGGACTGATGTTAGTCTCGAAAAGAAACAAAAGTCGAAGCTGGAGTAGAGGATGCTATTTGATATGCTTTACAGAACAGAAACAGAAACAGACTGAGCTCCCTGGAAAGCAAAGCTTTCTTAGTGAGATACGCTCCATATGATTGATTTAATGTCAAGCTGGATGGTTTTACTCAGAAAAATTGCAAATTGCTCTATAATCTGGAGCAAGACCGCTTCTCTCATCTTTGTTAATTGACTGCAAATGGTTTCAGATTTGCCTCATTTATACTTGTTCAATTTGTGGTGCTTAAAGAGGCCTGACAGCATTTTTACACAAGATGGATGTGATAAATTAATCCTAAAGATAAACAGAAGTTCAAAAATAATCCATTAAAAAAAGTGTAATAGACTGATCTCAAAAAGGAGAATTTATGAAAGGTACTTTGAAAGATGAAAATGAGAAGGACACAAAAACAAAGCAGGGATATCATGAGGAGAGCCCTCGGTGTGATGTAAGGGCAGATTACTCCTGTGTTAACCACAGTGACTAATTGTCAACATCACAAGATGCTTGCTCTGGTCTGGAAAATAGAGGTTGTTTCTGCTGACAGATGTGTCATCCAGTTCTGTTCTGAGCTGTGACCTTATATGTACCGACTCTTGAATTAACGCATCTCCCGTTGTTGTTCCCTTCAGCTTTCATAACTGGGTCAAATGATTAAATAATGCCGATTAGGAAACCTCTTAGTTGTTTCTATTCCGAAAGCGTGTTCCTGCATTTTTACGATCTCAGGCTTCGAAAAACGCATTTCTCACCTGGCCTGTCCCGATTCCTCCCCTCCCCTCTCCTCCACCCCAACCCGTCTCTCTCCGCCCTCCAGCTGATGCAGCAGCAGGCCTTGGTGGCTCAGTCGGCGTACCTCTCCCCTGTTGCCACGGTGGCTGCCGTCCAGATGCAGCAGCTCGCTGCTCTCAACCCCAGCAGCATCATCGCCACGCCGATAGCATCCATCACCCCGTCCTCAGGTAATGAGGGGCAGAGATGTCTGGGCCCAGCCAGCTTTGATTAGATTTCTCTTTGAAATATGACGACAGATAGACAAGAGGAGGTAAACAGAGGAAGACATCCATTTGGAATTTTTCTATATATATATATCGTTGGGTTGCAGTGAAATAAGACGTCTATGGGTTGTGTATCTCACATTTTGTGCCACATATCCATCAGTGACTGACCCAGTGGCAACGACAAAGACATGACGTAGGTTTTTAAGTGCTCTTTAGAGTCTGTCATTTTCAGAGAAAAAAAGATCACACAATATTGATGACTCATGCTGCACTTGTGAGCATGTGCCGCTTTCGTGCCCAACGACACACTTTGTTCAATCGAAGCAGGAGCAGATGCATAATGGGTGTCGTTGACCGCTAATCAGAAAGCAAAAGGCTTTGTGCTTTGTGCACAGACATTGTGAAAAATTTTTTTTGCTTTGCGTCTATTCATGAGACAAAATCGAAGTTTAAAAAAAAAAGTAAAACTGTGACTTTTTTTTTAACCACTGCACCAGTTGTCAAAAATACAGAAGCCTTTCAAAGCTAAGTTTTGGCAGAAAATTGTATTCAGGAGAGGCCCCGTTCCACAGCTTCAATGACAGAAAGTCTCCAGGGTTTTAAATATTCCTCATGCCTCTATTTTTTTACATGTTCTGCAGGTACCAGCACTCCTCCCTCCATCGCAGCCACACCTGTTCCTGCTATGCCTCCGCCTATTGCTGTGAACAGCTACCCCTCCGTGCAAGCACCACCCAACGGCCAATCAGCCACAGAAACCCTGTACACCAACGGGGTTCATGCCTATCAAGGTACCGCCATCTCATCTTTGGTAGTTTGGAAAGTTTTTGCTGTCATACAACAGCCCTCGACAGGTTTGCAGGCCTGCTGCTCTGATGTGCAACAATGAGGTCCTAATCATAAGGAAAATAAATTAAACTTAAGCACTAAGTGTAATTTGGGGATGTGGATCCCAGTAGAATATGTGTTCTTTTTCTGCATTAAATGACTGCTGACCATGTTATTTCTGTTTCACAGCTCAGAGTCCTGTCCTGGATCCCCTGCAGCAGGCATACACGGGCATGCAGCACTATACAGGTTAGCCTTTCTCCTCACAGTGCTTTGGAAAAGTCCAAATTCCCCCCTTGAATTATCTTCCAAGGGACCAGAGTTCCTGGCTTTTTAAAGGTCTCTCATCTTGTTTTTAAGCATTTACCGATTTATCACTCATTTTCAGTCTAGTTCTTGACCCTTACCTTTTAAATCTGAGCTGAGCATCATTCAAGCATAAAAAGTCACCGAACTCCAGGAGGAAGCATTGTTCTTAATACGCAACTTTATATACACATAAATATAATATAATATAATATAATATAATATAATATAATATAATATAATATAATATAATATAATATAATATAATATAATATAATATAATATCATATCATATCATATCATATCATATCATATCATATCATATCATATTATATCATATAATATCATATAATATATGAAGACTGCTGGACAAGTAAGGGACAAGAATGGCTTCATCAGATGAATAAGAAAGGAAAACAAGGAGAAAAGGCTGAACTATACAAGATGACGGAATCAATGAGGACTGAAAATCTGTGGCGACAGAAATCCTCCCAGGAGCCCGGACCACAACGTTATTTAAAAAGTGTGGGATCATCTGACAGAGAACAGAACAAAAGGCAGCAAACATCCAAATAAGAACCCCCCCCCAAAAATTCTAGAACATAATGAATTGCGTGAACTATGACAAAGACGCTTATTCAACCCATTTTTACTGAGTAACATCTGGCTGCATTAACTGGGTCACACGTCAAAGTTTGAATGTGTGACAGCTTATTTGTTTGGGTGAATCTGTAAGGGAAAACACTGGTAGGTAACCCTGCTCCGTCTGCTCTCCCTCTCCATCAGCCACATACCCGGCAGCCTACAGCCTGGTGGGACAGCCTTTCCCTCACCAGCCAACCCTGGTGGCCCAGCAGCCTCAGCAGCCGCAGCAGCTCCAGCAAAGAGAAGGTAAAGTCAAACATCTGCGCACAGGAGCAGACCAACGCCCGCCGTATCTCAGACAAACATTCCAGTGGTGTTGTACGTTTGCCTCAATGGCCACAAAGCCCTGTACAAGCTGTTCTGCAAACGTGTTCTGCTCTTTCTCTTTTTTTCCACACATGTCGGACAAACTGATTTAATTTAATTCTACAAGTGGAAATGTGTTTGTACATGTACTATTAGAAGTCACACGAGTCTCATGATTTATCATGGTTGACATGAAATCTAGTGAATTCAGTGAAATCTAACCAGCAGTGTGGAAGCATAATCGACATTAATGGCTTTTTGAAAAGTTTTTTAAATGGCTTTTTTAAAAAGTTCCTGAAAGGACTGGTCAACTGTCATTTTTTTACCAAAGATCTTACAGACATTCCATTTATGAAAATTGACAGTAAGTTATCCAACAATCAATGTTTACGTAATTCATGCCTTTCTTCTCTATAATTCTTAAGGGCTTCCCAAATCATTTATTTCAAATAAAATTCAGGGGTGAATTGAAGCATAGCAAGAAGGATTTGATTTAAACTTTACATAGACTCAGAGCAGAGGCCGAAAACTGGATGGTAACATTCATACATGTTCACCTGGAAATGTGTGCACGTTGACAAGCTTCGTTTCTTTTGTCATGTTCTTCTTTTTCTCGTGTAGTCTTCTGCTATCAAATCCATCATAATAACGGTCAGTGGTACCTTCCACCCGGGGATATTGTTTAAAATTTGGAGTTTGATACAACGCTTGATTTATCCAATCTATGTCCTTGTCCTGCCTCCTGATGGAGTGTATTGACGTTCTATAATCCCACACTTTGTTCGTTTAGACACTCGCCGTCTGTGTGTGTGTTATGCTGAATTTATGCAGCCGATAATGATAATTCAATCAGTTTCTCTTTAACTCTAAGTGAACAAGTTTTTGCTCGTCTGAGAGCAGAGAGAGACCTTACTAGATTCTTCATCCTGCCACAGCCTGTCCCACAGTGAGAAATGCGATAGACATGTTGAGAGAAAATTGACTTATCCAGCCAGATTCTGTCAGTAATTAATAACACAGCTGGTTTGGGTGTTTATGGATCTGAAAGCAACCTGTGATATGAATGAAAACTAAATATTTAAAGGCTCTCGCATCTAATTTCTAAAATCTGGCTTGAAGTCATCACGCTACCATCTGCGTCGTCAATTATAGTTAGCTCCAAAATATTTGGACACATGTGGATTATACGTATCCAGACTGCTGTGTTGAATCCTACTTCAGGTTTGTTGTTACAGATCCATACTGAGTGGTGGATTTTTTAAATGATGAGGATAGTGGACGTGGATGAGGATACAGGTCTGGTCTTCCAGGGACAGGCGGGAGGTTTAGCTCTGGCCGGCGTCCTGGGGGCCTTCCTCTGTCACGGACGTGGCGCGCTTCACCTGCATCTTGTTTTCCTCTCCTGTCTTCTTGTTCAGGTCCAGAGGGGTGTAACATCTTCATCTACCACCTGCCTCAGGAGTTCACCGACTCAGAGATACTCCAGATGTTCCTTCCTTTTGGAAACGTCATTTCTGCGAAGGTCTTCGTTGACCGTGCCACCAACCAGAGCAAATGCTTCGGTAAGCCACAGCGCACGTCCGCGGAATATGTGATGTGGTGGCCTTTTAGAGACTTTTCTTCATTTTCTCTCTCGCTGCTTTTTTCTCTAATTTGAATCTGTGCTCGTTCCATCGCTTCTGCCTCAGGTTTCGTGAGCTTTGACAACCCATCCAGCGCCCAGACTGCCATCCAGGCCATGAATGGCTTCCAGATCGGTATGAAGAGACTGAAGGTGCAGCTGAAGAGGCCCAAGGATGCCAACAGGCCTTACTGAAGGAGGTGAGAGGCTGCATACTGATGAGTTCAAGGGCATGGGGAAGGCGCAGGGAGAGTCTGATTGACAGCTGGAAACATGAAAGTTAAGGATCCAAAAGTGGATGTAATTGGGAACTCAGCACTTAAACGAAGAAGTCAATAACCCTCCAGCAGATTAACTTTAACGAGGTGGCAGCACTTAAAAAAGTCAGTTTGAATCACATTACTAGGACAAGGAGATACCTTTGTTGAGTAGAAGCGTCTGTTTCTGTCTTTGCTCACTATGTTTGGGATTATGCAGAGAGGTAGACTTGAACGGGGATCAAATGCTCTGTCTAACCAGTGTTCTGTCGCAGGATTGGATGACAGCTGCTGTCCGTCATTAATTTATTCTTTTATTTTCACTTATTGTTTTTGTGCTGTGCCACATGCCATTTTTCCCGAAAAAAACATCACGCCACTATCAAGGCCGTCCCGCCCATACATATAACGTGGAGACGTGCGTCGCTATGGCTACGGTTGCCAAGCAACCGCTTAAACCCACCCCCCCCTTCCTTCTCAAAGCGTTGTAAGTTAATTGGCCTGTGTTGGTTGCTGTGGCGATATTGCCTGTGATGGTTGCCATTAGCAATTTTATTTTGGGCCGTTGCCTTGACTCACCATGCTCTGCGGCATGGCGGGTTACTGTGGCGACCGTGAACTGTGTTTGGTGCGTTGTGAGTTTCCTCTTATCATTTTGTTCTGGTCTTAATCCTTGCAAACACTGATCAATACTTGTCATTTAACCTGAGCATCTGTAAGTAACTGATTATCATGACATGCTGTTTTTTTTTTCCCGTTTAGTTTTTTTGTTTAAAGTCCTCTAAAAGTAACAGTGCTATAAGCTGAATGAGCTCGTCTCCATCAAATGTGGATCTATTTCAGGGTTTTTTTTTTTTCGCTTCAGCCTTTTTTGGTTTGGATTAGTTTTATTTTTGTGTTGTCTGTCATGATTATCATTCTTACACAGCCCCTCTGTTTAGCTGGTTGCTGTGGTAGTTTTTTTTTTCGGTGAGTGCGGGGTTTTCTGTTTGGTTGTGACTCATTTCCAAGTGACTTTGTGCCTGAACTTTGTTTGTTTTCTTGTGAGACAGTGTACTCAACGTGCCCCCTGTATATATGGTTGACAACATAGTGTTTGTGTGCGTGATGACTGTGGGTGTGCAACACGCAGACAAGGTGTGTGTGTGTGTGTGTTTCTGTTTGATAGATGTAAAAAAGCAATGGCGTGTACGTGATGGCGTGGGTGTGAAGTCCTGTCCCAACTGAGAAGCGAACCTTTCTTTAGAGGGTTTTGGGTAAAGCTGTTTGGTTCCTGTGACACGTGCTGCTGGCTGAGGAACTGCATTCCTCTGTAGGAATTCTGGGACTCAAAAAACTTTAGAAATCACTATCATACGTTCTCAAAAGGACCCAAAATGTCCTCGTCTTTTGTCTAGAGTAACTAGAGATTCATAATGTTTCTTGCCCACAGGGTATCTGCAGGTCCTTAAAGGTTTTTGAAAAAGATGATGCTTTAAAAAAGCTGACATTTGGCCTTTTTAAAATTCTTTCATTATCAATAAGAACACAAACAAAAATCTAGACTCACGTAAGCATTAATTGCTGTATATGTATACAGTTTATTTTCACTTTAAGGTATAGCTTTAACCATCTTTCTCCATTGAACTTCTTTAAAGCTCCACAACGCTTAGTTTTTTGCTCCGAGTAAAGTCTTTTTTTTCTTTTTACCACAATATCAAGCTGATCAACCATAACATTAAAACCTGATCATAGCCTACAGTTCACAGTTTTCACATGATGGGACATCAATGGCAAAGCGAACTATGCTGATTGTGCAAGTTTTCAGTGACACAAAGTAGTTTCTCTTTTGACCTGACAAGATTATCACAGCAAACTTTGGGTCGACACAAAACCTTACCTTACCTTAAAGTTTACCAACGGAGTGTGAAAAATATTGCATCTTTCTTTTCCCAGACAGGAAAAAATCAAACTTAAACAATCAAATGTCATCACGCAGAAGCATTAAAATCTGCTGCTGTCTGACATCATTTCCACCTCAAAAGCTCTTGACTGATGTTGGATAAACTGCATATTGTTCGATACCTGACAGAATTTATCGTCTGTCTTTAAAGCCAGTGAGGGGATTTAGACGATGACCAAACGTTGGCATTTTAATCACTTGATTTAATCAGAATGCAATGATGTCCATTCAGTGTGTTGAGCTGTAGGTTTGGCAGTTACTATAGAACAAACTGTTGACTAACGGATTGGAAAATTAGCCGTGCCATTCAGTCAATAAAAACTATTTGCCTGAGATTGAGGTTATTTCCAGGTGTCAGCGCGAAGTGCACCCCTTGAGTATGAGGTTACCTTTTGCTTTCATTACAGATATAGATGCGTATTGCAGCCCTGTCTTAAACATAACATCGTGCAAAGGGATAATTCTTCACACCTCTCGCGGGGCTGCTGTATTTTTTGTGAGAGAAGCATCAAATGATGCATTAAACCACCAGTTTATGTGAGCAATCATCATCATAGTGCCATTATTAGGCTGGTTACATCGAATCAGCTAACACAAAAACAGCCTGGATGTCTGAACTTGGTCCTCCAAACCTCTAAAATACTGGTCTAATGACATCTGAAAGACTGGAGCGGTTTCAGGTTTTGATGTTCTGGTTGATCAAATGTAGGCTTTCTACATTTCTTCACACAGTTTTGTGTTTGACATATTTTCTTTAAAGATTATTATTAATTGCGTAAAAAGCTTCTGTTTTAATAAAAAAAAATCTTAATCAGTTTAGTATTCAGAATGCATTGAAGACAGATTTACTTCTCTGACGTGATATTTTATTGGTAAAAATATATAAATAGATATACATTTTCAGATACCTTCAGATACTCTGTTTGCTGAAATCTGCATCACAAGTACATTTTTTGGACGACTATTGCTGAATGCTGAATCTTATGGATAACTTTGTCTTTCTGCATATTAATGTAATCTTTTTTCTAACATTTGAAGAGCCGATTACCACCAGAATTCCTACTGTGCATGTTCCAAATCAATTTGCCTGCCAAATGAGATAAACTATTTCCTTAGAACGTGCATACAATTGCAGCAGTATGGCTGTCACTATTACAGTTGCATGGACACTGGTCGATTACCGAGATTCCCCCTCAGGCATCAGTGCAAGCAGTGTGTATTGCAGACACCACTCCACTTCCAAAGTAAAAAAAAAACACAACAACTCTGCTTTATTTATTGTGATTGGGTTTAAAATGCTCTGTGCTCTGTTTCTCCTTCTTTTTCTTTCCTTCCAGGAGTTCAATCAAGCAAACCACTTGGGAAGCCCCAGCCTTTTTTTTGGTTGTTTGACCAACCGTTATAGCACAGGAGCAACACTTCACAAAAAGCAGTATCCCGTGTATGCGCTTACAAAAACAGCAGCCACAGCGGTAATGTCAGCAACAAATCCATCGACAGAGTCAGCATTCGCAGTATCAGAAGTGCTCCAGAGTTCCTATCATTCCACAGCTGGATTCATTTATATTATGTACATACTCTATTGTCGGCAACAAGATATACATGTTAAGAAAAAGCATATCACTGATGTTATTCTCCTGAACAGGGTTCTACTGTATAGTGTGATTTGTGGTCAATGGCCTTAACAGAGGGCCAGTCTACAGAGTTGGAGGCAAAAGAAAATACTATTCTGTATGATTACCGTTGGTAATATTGTTATGTAGAGCTAGTTTTATTATTTATACGTAAATTTAAAGAAAAAAACATGGAGTGATTCAAATGGAAGAGAAATGGATTTCCTCTCTCTGTACATACCTTAGTTTAAAGATGGAGGACTTAAAAACTTCACAAATTAACATTCTCTGCTGCCACTGATTTTAAAAATTAAAGCGGACGGAAGGGCTGGGAATTTTTCTATCTTGATTTTTTACGTTTAATTTATTTGGTAATCAATTTGATTGCGGGGGAGCTGTGACAATTCCTTTTTTAATTTAAGAAGAAAAAAAATGAAGATTCCTGAGGTCTTCACGATAATGAACACACTTATTATAGAGTTTTTAATTGCATAAATGGTACCTATGGAAGTAAAAAAAAACAACAAAAAAACAAAAACAAAACATGTTTCTTTATTTATTCTCTACAGTTGCTGTTTTAAAAAATATGTCTTTAAAAGAAAATAAAGTACAATTTAGAAAAAAAAGAAGATGTGTGATCTCTTTTGTAATATGCTGAACGGTTTCTCTGTTTTCAGGCTTTGGGGATATAAATGGCCATGGGAGAGTTTCTCCAGGGAAGTTTGCTGCTCTCTGTAGGCCTGGAGAAGTATTGAGGAAAATGGAAAACATCTGTCTTTGAGTTGTGCTTGCATACAGAACAAAGTCCCAACCTAACCTTTAAAAAGAAAGGGAAATATTTAAATTCTAGGAGCACAACTTAAACAGAGTTAAACTGGTATGTGAAGAATGGAACATTTTACATGATGTAAACAATCAATGTACATACATTTGTCAAGCCAAACAAGCTCTACTTTACTCATAATTCCTAACTGCATGAATATTCAGCTGGAATATGAAGGAATGAAGAGGAAGGGTTATATGTGGAGTTATATGTACCACAAACTGGAGTAGGCAAGGATTCTGTCCAGCACAGAATTTTAGGTTTGGTCTGATGGGTCTAAACATGCAATGAATGCTTCCTAAATGCCTGAGTGTATGAGGGGTGATTAATACCACACAGACCTTCACTTGCAAAGAAGAGCAAAATAACTTGCAATCACAACATATAACTGGTAAGAAGAATTTCCCCAGATATTTATGTATTAAAGGTCAAGATGACCATTTCCTCATGACCGGTAATCACAGTTTAAACAGTTAAAAAGTTGATGAGTTAAAAAAGTATTAAATGTGGAAAAAGTTCAACTACATAAATATAAATATATCTAAAAAAAATAAATTGATATATTTGAGAAAACCAACATTTTTAGAACAGAACATAAGAAATATATAAAATGTTGAGAGTGAGATATTTTTGCTATTTCATATATAATATGTCAATTTGATTTTGATAACAGGAATATGACTTTTAAAAAGTTAATACCACTTCGTAGATTCTGGGAACTGATGCAGTTTAACATTATCTTGCAGGCTTTTTATTAAAAGACATAATCTGGATAGAATTGTATGCTGCACTCAATCATATGTACCTTTCAGCAGTGACTGGGCCTTTCCAGAAGAGGAAGATGCACCCCACATTATCACAGATTAATGCTCCTGAACTGTCAAAAGGAGGTTATTCTCTTCTTTGATGCAAAGGACACAATCAGTGTCCTTGATTTTCAAGAAGAATTTAAATTTTGACCAGTTATTCCATTTTCCTCAGTGTGTTGAAAAATACCAGGTAAAATGGTAGTTCACATTTGACTTCCTCTCAGTGTGTATATACAAACTAAGTCAAAACATGAGACGTTCACGAACATCATTGTAAAAATATAAATCTGTATACTAGTATTTCGTCCAATAAAAATCGCGCTTTGTAGCATCAACCACCCCTCATACACTCTGGAGAGTCGCGTCACCTTAAATGGCCTGCCCCCTTTCCATCCGAGTTAAACAAACCACAAAATCCACTATATCAGAGCAATTCACCGGCTGATCCACAGCTACAGCACTCAGACGACCGGGAACCGACGACGGTCGTGAATGCGCATTTATAACAGGTTTTAACGGCTTTAAATCACGACCAGAAGAGAGTTTCATGGGCGAAAGTGCGACAGTTCTGTGTTTTTGCAGAGATAATGAGGCGAACCTGATGTGGGCGGAAAACAAGCGGATTAACTCATTGAATTAAAATAAAGTTTGAGACGTTTTAATGGCGACTGTCTCATGAAACCACCTCAGCTGCATCGGGAACAGCAAACCAGAGGCAGAAGTAGCGGCAACGGCAGAGCCGCCATACATTTTGAGACTTTTACCTGACTCCAGAGAGGAGCCGAGAGGTAAGAGGACCGCACCGTTACACGATTTCCGACACGTCGGTGGCACCATAACTTCAAGAACTATCCACGAACAGACACACTAAAGTCTGCCATTTCTGGGGTGCAATGAGTGTCTTGCTCGCTGAAGGATATGTGTAAAGTTTTTACCCATCAAACTTTGCTGACGCCCTCCTGAAGGCGGCCCTCTAGATTTAGAGCCGTTGAGGAAGACTTTCCCTATAAAAGTTTAGCGGACTAACAGGTCTTTTCTTCTCCTTACTGGAGTTTTTACCGGAACGACGCCATGAAACGGGGTGGCGAAAGCTTTCGGGCTTCGATAAAGTAGTTTGTGTCGTGTGCGGGGAAATACAGAAGTCGTTTGCTAAATATTAACGGCCATTTATGTTGCTCGTGGTGCGGTTCACGTGCACGCTGTGAAAGTTTAACAACGTCAGCCGGTGATGTGGCCCGGCAGATTCTAAACTCGATGGATTTTGATTATAGTGACACCAAATATCTATTTTCAACTGTTTTTAAGATACTGGTGGAGTTACTTTCGACGTTTGACGACTTGCCCGAGTCCCCATCCGACTTTTGCCGTCTGTTCCGCTATGTCCGGGAGACTCCCCGTTTGCGCCATGCGCGTTCACTCAGCCACTCCCTGCGTGGGCTTTTTCAGTTTACTGTACTCAGCCACTAAACCTCACTCTGAGTCCCCTACAGCTGTCCAGACCTCAATTAAACCATCAGAAGTGCCACAATTGTCTAACGAATTACAGGGGATGCGTCACGTTGTTCCTCTTTTTTTTACCAGAGCCCCTTATTTAGTCCCATTTAGAAAGTGTTTCTTCACCTGCAAGGGGATTTCCAAAGAAGAGCTTAAAACTTGCCTCAGTATGGCGGGCAGAGCGAGAAGTGAGGGTACTGCACAAGTGTCAGGGCCTAAAAAAAAAGTGTCTGAACAATATCTGACTGGGATGTCCTTAAGAACTAGGAACGTGATACAGGACCTGAGAGATGCATGTGGACCTTCAGGTGATCCGTTGACTGAAAATCTGTGAAAATGGGTCTGATGGGGGATGAACCCTCTCTAGAGCCCAGACCTCATCATTATTGAAGTAGTCTGGGATTATCCAGACAGAGAAAATAACAAAGAAGCTGCCAACAGCCAAAGAAGAGCCGTTCGATACACTTCTGAAATCCCAGAGAACTGTTCCTGAAGACCTTAATAGATTTGTGAGTTTATCTAGGTGGGTTCAGACAATTAAGTATACAGTGGCTCGTGATAAGTACCTGAATATGGTATAACAGCTGCAAAACCATCTGTTGAATATATAAAGGCCTTTATTTATATAAAACAGTGCTGTCTTACTCACATTTGGTAATATCTAGAGATATAATATCATGTTAGTTCAATACCCGAACTTGTAAATTAGGTCAATATGGGTTGGAATGTAGCATTAAGATAATGAGCTGTAAGTTTAGTCTAAGCCGCAACCACAGAGCAAACACCACAAACGTGCTTGTTGTTGAGCCTTCATGACCTCAGTAAAAGAAATTTGATAACATTATCTAAAGATATTGTCAACATGTCAAAATCTTCACTTCAACAGCCTAATCTGTGCTGGCGCTGCCCTGCACACAGATTATCCAGAGCCCGTCTCGTTGGACACAGTGACCTCTGACACCAGCTTAGCGCCACCCGTGCTTTACGTTTTGCTGCATGCCTGAGTCAAACGTGATGTCGGAATTTGTCAGTGTTGCGTGAGATATTTGATTTGCCCCTAAACGGGCAAACGGCATGTAAAAGGTACTCAAACCTAGCATCGATTTGGAATCGCTTTTCAGCAGACATGCATGTCTTTTGGGTGGTGGGAGGAATCTAGTCCAGGCATTCACTGAGATCATCACTCAAAACCACTGATACAGGGGAGTCAGATAGTGCCAGTCACTTTCTGTACCATAACACACATTTCTCATAACATGCTGTGTCCTTAAGGCATAACTATCATTTTATACTGACCTTGCGCCAAGTAGATGATTTAAAACAAAATAAATACTTCATTAATATGACTATGATATTCATGTTTATTACCAGGTGTAGATCTGTGTTTAGTTATTGACAGGTGAGGCTAAAAATAGACTTATTAAAAGTGTGGTGTGGAGATGATAAGATACGTGTATAAGGAAGTCAGCAGGAGCTGAGGGAAAGCTGGTGCTGAATTTTAAAGATTTTTTTTTTTTTTGACCCAGTTTAAGGCCTTACAGAGAGAATATTTTGGCTTCTGCTGCACAGAATTCAGACTTTTCTTTGTTTGAGTGTTTCCCCTTTTAGGTGTGTACGTATGTGTAGCATCATATCCCTTTTTTTCCTAAAGCTGGCATACATTGCGCTGTAATCGTGTGATGTAACCACATGGGTAAAACTGTTTTCAGCCATAAGAAACGGGAATACTTCACTTATAGATCCAAAAGATGTGAGAGCAGGATAATGTGAGTTCTGTTAAAAAGTTAGACAGACTGTCAATGTTTGGCACCTAAGTGACAAATTAGTTTGACTGAAACCCGGGCTGTTGGATCAACAGCAGACAGAGGATAATACAACAAACCACTGGATGTACTCACATTTAGCGCATTAACAGAGCAGCGTTAATGCAGGGCATTTGAAGCTGAAATTTTAAATGAAAAGTCATTTTGTTGAGCTTCTTTTATTTACTTTTATGCCAGAAAGCCCATTCACAAAGTCGTACCACAGAAAAAGTTGAAAGCTTACCTAAGCTCGTTGCCTCTGTAGATGGATGACAACATCTTTCCTGTCAGGAAACCTTTGAAGGGATTGTTCACCAGAGGTATCAAATTAAACTGCCCTGAGCAGCAGCAGCTGTGACTTAACTCTCAGAGACATAGACCTTACAGGAAGCAGGAGTTTTATTGCGTGGTCTTGTTGCATACTTTAGTATCTCTTTTCATTCTTTGGCTGTTGTGTGCAATGAAAGCGAGCTGTTTAGTTTAATTCAGCCACAGGGCGAGCGTGCAATCGGCCCTTGAGCCCAAAGGAACACACCTGAGAGCTTGTGCAGCCACAAGGACGGTTTCCACTCCCACTGCTGGGCTGACAAACACTGAGGAAGGCTGAATGCGAACCTGCACTCATTGACCTATTTTTACACAAAGAGCCCGTTTTCTGTTCTTTTGTTTGAAACATTTAAAAGACTCGGCCCGGGCTGCACTCAGCTAAGCAAATAGGTGGGCGAATTTTGTTTGTTACGCAAAACGTCTATTAAAGTCTGTGCGCGGCTGAATTTCCCTTCTAAGTAATTTCCTTTAAACAGGCACTCATCTCTCTCTCTCTCATTATAACACCGGTTGTAATATGGTGATCGGACTCAATCTGCCGAACTCAGATCGTCGTATCCACTGGTGACTAAGCGTTGCATCGAGGTGTTGCCAGTAATTAGACTGATGTCATCTGTTTAACTGGATAGCCTCGGGTTGTTTTGTTAAGGTAACTGATGTTTCATCAGCCCACCGTATCCATGCTGACTTAGTGGATGTGAAGAAGGCCAAAAAACACCCAAACAAACAGTTTTCTCTGTGAAAGGTGAACCTGGCAGTCTTGTCTCATTTAAGATCGGTCGCTCTTTATTAAAGAGATCATACTCATTTAGAGGTTAAAGATATTGTTTTTGGGTGAGGTGTTCATTAACTGAACAGCTGTAGATTCTCTGGTTCTCATTGTAATATAATCCTGCTCTCTTATAAGGTGAATAACGGCATTTATGAAAAGATTATACTTTTTTACTTTTTTATTTCTCTCGTTCAGCTGTATAGTCGGCTTACAGCTTTTGGCAGCTAAAAACACCCCAGAGTTAAGCTTATATTTCACAACCATTTCTCTGTAATTTGAGCATTTTCAGGGACGAAAAACAAAACCGATTATATTGCCCAGTCCTTATTCACTGGTGACAAACAATGAGAAAGTTCACACTATTCTTTCTTTCTTTTTTTTTTGTTGTTGTGTTACAGGTTCAACAAAGTTGTTGCCTGTAGGCTCATGATCATTACTAATGATATGTTTGCTTTGCCGACTGCAAAGTTTCCCAACATTTAGAATCCTCTTATCATTTTTTGGGACTTTGTCTTTCAATAAAACAGTTTGCTCAGTCTTTCCGGTGCCAGTAATGCATTTATACTCTTTGTGTTTGAACTCAAAGTCAACCGCAGGACATTTGATGCTTAGACATTTAAGAGTAATCAGAAATGACTCCAGGGAGGAGAGGACCGGCTCGCCTCGAGGCAGCTGCACACTTGTACTGGCTCTCATTGAGGGCTTGCCAAACAAGCTGCTAGATGGGTATCGAGAAAATTTGCTGCATAGGGATGTAAAAAGGTAACAGGAGCAGCATTTTTAGCTCAGGTGCACGGCTTTCTGTGGGGAGATGATCCTTTTTGGGGTGGATTTTTGTGTTTGCTAACATTTCAGATCATATACAGACACAGCTAAGTTGAACAATATGATATAGAATCAAAACCTTTCCTTTTGTGTTTGGCGTGTTATGCGGATGTTTGAGTACTAAGAATGTATGAATTAATGTTAGAATGAGTGGCTATGTTATTTGAAATTCCTTCTACTGACAACACTGATGTTCTCCACATGAGAGTGGATGAAGTAACTCTGAGAGGAAGGCCATGGGCTTGCCCAAGATGGTCAGGCTGTGTTGATTGCCCAACGTCCTTCACTTGGATGAGATAGGCTGCATGTTATGAATCAATGAGAAGTTCTGAGATGACGCAAAATTAGTTCTATGACACTAAATGGAGTCGTACAAAGAGGTTTTTCTGGCAGCTTTTGGTCGAACTCATGTTTCTGACTATGTTCATCATCCTGCTGCAGAAAAGGTTTTTTTTTTTCTTCTAATGAATGGAAGTTACACTGTCCAAGTACACTTTAGAGCAGTGGCTGATTTGGGTTTGATTGCATTGGTTGCTGCATGATAAAAACCCTGCTTTCATTATTCCCTTTCATCTAGATCAGGAAGTGGTCAGATATGGAGCCTATTACAGATGCAAAGTGAGATTAATAACCTCCCATCAGTCATCGTTCCTCTCGCCTCACCCTCTTTTTCCTCTTTTTCTTCTTCTTCCTCTCAGGATATTGTCATGGCTGAGTTGGCAGCTGTAAATTTATCTAATAGAAAATCTGCGTGGAAATCACCTAGCAGACAAGATCTTCTTTTTAATATCGGTCTTAATTTCCTTCCGTGAGATCTGAATCCCTTCTCTCTTTTTTGTCTGTAGGATGTTATCTCGGTTGAGCGAGCAGATATGGGCCGACTGGATTTGGTTCCCCAAAGGCCACGGCTGGAATGATTTAAAGGATCACGATGGCAAAGTCTTCCCTAAACTGCCAGACCTCTGGGCCACCATACCCATCGCTATTTGCTTTCTAGTCATAAGACCGATATTTGAGCGGTGAGTCATTTCATCTGATTTTCCTGTTAAGTCTACATCCGCTTGTCTATTTCTGACAAAACCCAGATAGCACGCTCAGTGTGTCTCCTCTCCACCCTGCAGGACAGTAGCTCTTCCTCTGGCCTCTCTGCTTGGAGTCAGAGACAAGCCGCGTCTTTGTGTCCGTCCAAATCCTGTCCTGGAGTCCTATTTCTGCAGCACGTCAAAGTTTCCCACACAGGTACTCTGCAAGCACGCATCAGTCTCATCACACCATGAAGTAATGATTTCATTTTTTTAATCCAAACCTGTTTTTTTTGGTTTTTGATACACTAAATCCTGAATGTAACCCATTGTTTTTTTCGTGTATTATACCATTGTCAAGACCTATTCTGTCCTCACCCTGCTTTTGGCTACAGAGCTCCTTTGAGAGTTTAAGTAAGCAGACAGGATGTTCAGTGCGACAAGTCCAGAGGTGGTTCAGGAGGCGGAGGAACCAGGACCGACCCAGCAAGGTCAAAAAGTTTCGGGAAGCAAGGTACTGACCCAGATCCATCCTTTTTTCTTACTTTTTTTTTTTTTAGGGTATTAGATTAGCATGGATGCTAGATAGGTTTGGTAGTTTCCTTAAGTACAATGTGCGATCAACCCTGGATTTTTTTTGTGGTTGTCATGGCGTCATAAAACAGAAATATCACTTTGAAGTTGTGAGCAGGAGTCTGAATGTTTTCTTTGGACGGGCAGCATTTTCACTGATTCATGGCGCCTGCCCTTGTTGCGCTGTGGTGCAGATTTAACAGACAATATGTTAAAATGCCTCTCAGGGCACTCCAGTTTCTTTCATCATAAGTGGCCCCACTTTGAACCCATACACACCCATATTGTGGGATCGGGTGTTGCAAAACGAGCAGAAAAATGACATCTGCAGCTGAACTTACAACACTGAGAATCTCCCTGAACCTCCCATGGACAGATGCTGTTTTCCTGCTTCTGTCCATGGGAGGTTGAATTTGATGACTTCTTCTAATGTTACTATATTAAGTTAAGAAATGGTGATTGAAATTCATGGGTATTTATCACATGGGAACCATTTCAGCTGTTTTGTGCTTGTTTCCCTTTTAGTCCCGAATGCTTGTAGCTCTTTATGTGGGGGGTTTGTTTCTATTAACTAAAGCTTCTTTAAATGTCCTCTGACATTCTTACTCTTTCTCTTACAGTTGGAGGTTTACATTTTACTTTCTGGCTTTCTTTGTTGGCCTGGGAGTTCTTGTTGATGTGAGTAGTTCTTTTTTTTCTAACAGCTGAATAAGAAATTAATTTTTTCTGTTTCTTATGAAGCAAAGCAGTTGAGGTTGGAAAGAGTGAATTGTTCCACAATGCATTTAAACTGGTGGTTGAAAGGAAAAAGTGGACTGATAAGTTTTTTTTCTAAAATTTTTCATCTAAAAAAAGAAGTTTCCTGTGAAGTTAGTGTAGTCTGAGCCTGGAGATGCATTATGCTTATTTCCACCAATTCTGTGGAAGTACTCTGGTCTAAAATCCAACCAATATCCTGCTGGAGGTTTGAAGGTATATATCATTCTGACTGGGAAAATAATGATTAAGGGAAGTGAAAGCCTAATATTCCAGCAGTTTTTATGCCCATAATGACTAGTTTTCAACGTCCTGCCACACCTGTAGAAAGTAGAGGTACAGAAATGACTCGTTTATTGCTACAGGACCATTGTTTTTCTCTTCTCATTTGTTGTTGAGCTTGTCGGTTGTTTCTAACCATCTGTCTCACCTTTAGAAACCATGGTTCTTTGATATGCAGCAAGTATGGGAAGACTTTCCAAAAATGGTAACAAAGTTTTTCTTTTCGCACTTCTGTTTCTGGACCAATATTTGTGTGTAAAAAGAGTCAAATGATCTTTCTCTCTCCCTTTCAGCCGCTACTGCCCTCACAATACTGGTACTACATGATAGAACTCGGCTTCTACGTCTCTTTGGTTTTTAGCGTAGCGTCAGATATCAAACGTAAGGTAGGTAAAACTTTAATGTCTTCAAACTCTGTTCGCTGTTTATCAGGAATTTCCTATTGAGATATTATTTGCCAAGAGGGATGATAAGAGTGCTCTGTCAATCTGTCATGCTGGTAGAATATTATGGGGTCTGGTATTGATTTCTCCTTTTTTTTTAACGCCAGCTTTCAGAATGCACTCAAAGATGATGTGCACTTTGGTTCTACTTAATGTGAGGAGATCAAAATGTTGTGCAAAGGGCCAAAAAGAGAGACCTCTGGTTTTGTAACTACAACTCACAAATAGAAACTGCTAATCTTTTAAACCCAAACAAGAGATTTAATTCAAGGTTTGCACATGGCCACCATGAAAAAAAAGTTTCCCTTCAGTTTTAGGTTTTATCATGAAACTCCTAGTTGAGTGCTCCTTTTTCTTTGGATGCATTTTCCTGTCTCACACTAAAGCTGTGTAATCTGCTCTGTGCGAAGAGTTAATCATTTGTAAATTGAGTCGGGCGCTGTTGATTGGTGACCAATTTTTACAGTCTGATCAATAAGCGACCAAGTGCTGTTAGACTTTATGTTTTACCTCTTTTGGACTTCTGTGTGTGCAGGATTTTAAAGAGCAGATCATTCACCACGTGGCAACCATTGCCCTCATCAGTTTCTCCTGGCTGGTTAACTACATCCGGGCTGGGACTTTGGTCATGCTGGTGCATGATGCCTCTGACTATCTAATGGAGGTATGCCCAAGTACACCTGGATTCAAGAAGGAATTTTGAACTATATCTATTTGGACACATTTTTTTTTTCAAAAATAAATTTTCTACCAATTATTTTAACCCCTCTTCCCACTATTTTCTCTGGTGTCAGAAAAAGAGCGACAGTGTATCAACAAATGCTAACTTAAATGGAAAGGAAGTATTTTGTATAGATATATTGAGTTTGAAAATAGGTAGTTTGCGGGAATTTCTTTATTCTTGAACACTGTTTGAACCCTTGGAAAATGTCCCCACTCCACTTTCCTTAATATTACACCATGCTGGAATATGCTTAAACTGTACAGCATAAAGACGATAATGAGCAAAAATCCCATTTCTATATCCAAATTTTAAATGTAAGAAGTCACTTTGTAAAATACAGCTAAAAAATGAGAGCAGATTATGTGTCTTTGTGACATGCTGATCATAAGTGTAAAAAAAAAAATTCAAATGGGTCTTTGCCTAATAGGTTTATTTCTTTTCCCTTAACACCCATAACAGGAAATGTACACTTTTTTGTTGCTCCCTCCCATTTTCAGAAAATGTAGTTTTAGCTAAGAGGCTTAAAGGTGGATTGAAGGCAATGATGTCTCGACACAACTCATTGTCTGCCCTCTAGAGGTAAATGAAGAACTAAGACTTTTCCTTTTCTGTTGCTTTTTTTTTTTATTTCAGTCTGCGAAAATGTTCAACTACGCAGGGTGGAGGAGAACCTGCAACTTTATCTTCATCATGTTTGCTGTGGTTTTCATCATCACCCGCCTCATAATCTTCCCCTTCTGGTAACAAAAAATGTTACATCATATTTTCTGTCATTATAAATGAGTCCAATATTAATGTAAGATAAAAACGGCTGAATAATGACAACAGAGCAGTTTTCATTCAGCCATAATTCATACTGCATGCTCTGCGATAGCTAGTATACACAATCTGCTTAAAAAAAGACTCTTACAATATCTGTTTAAAGTATTACAATTAGCCTCTTTCTTATAAAAAATGTGGAACAGGTTGTTTAAAAAACATTTTTTCAATGATTCTAGCTGATCAGCATAATTTTTAATGTTTTTCTCTCTTTTTTTTATGAATAAAATCACAGTGGGTGTGAGGTCCCTCATTCTTTGCATGTCACCTCCCACTCTGAATGAATTGGCCTGTCATGAACAGCTGCATTGTGTCCGAGTGAAAAGCCAGGCTGTATTTGTTATGGTGTTGGCTTTATTTCTGTATGAAGGACGGTCATATCGGCCTCTCTTTGTGTTGCAGCTGAAGCATGCACTGATTCATATTTATTTCTTTATGTATTCATTCATTTAGTTTTAACAGATCTTTCATAAACTTTTCCTGCCAACACAACAGACTCATTGTCCCAACTGAGACTGGAAGCTGCGATGGCTCTGACTGGATTCTTTGTTCTGCCTTTGTCCTCTCATCCAGGATCATACATACGACTTTGGTGTACCCGCTGAGCCTCTACTCCCCCTTCCTCGGCTTCTACTTCTTCAACGGGCTGATGCTCGTGCTGCAGGCTCTGCACTTCTTCTGGGCGGTACTCATCTTGCGCATGGCGGTCAAATTCCTGCCGGGCAATGTGAGAAGCGCACTTTTTACACATACATTTGTCATATGGCTCGTAATATTTCAAGCTGGAGGCAGCAGCGCTTACATGCTTCGCTCTGTGTGACAGGACATCGTTGAGGATGAGCGGAGCGACAAGGAAGAGACGGAGTCCGACGATGAGGTGGACGGTCACGAGCGCAAAGAAAAACCAAAAAACGGCCACGTGCAGAACGGCCACACGGTCCTGAACAACAACCACAGTAAGATGGACTGATTGGACTGAGCTGGGTGACGATGGGCCCGTTGCCTGGAAGCCAAAGAGCGTGAGCGTAGCGTTGAAAGGAGCGACAAGCAGCACTCTCAGATATACCTGTTCTTACCCAATCCCCCATATCAGATATCAGTTCCACTAAATCACAAAAGTCCTGGTTAAGAGCCACAGTCACCTGCTGGACGAGGAAACCACAGTTTCTTTCTTTGTTCCTCTCCCCAGCAGAATAATTTTCTTTCTTTTTAAAAAAACAAAAGTGCCATCACCCATGTAGTCCATGTCAAACCTGCCTGCTTGTAGCTTGATTTTTATTACTGGAAGTGTTTTTAGGAGATCCAGGGATTGGGACGGGTACCCTCCTCCTGCAGCTGGTTAACACTCTCTAAGTATTAATGACCTCAAACTTGACCTAAATTTGCTCTCAGTAACCACACTGACGACAGCGAGGGGCAGCAACGTGAATGTGGCACTGACTCTCTGTGGACCATGCATCTGGAACCATGGATAAGTCGGTCCAAACGTTGCTACTGCCCAGAGTGTTGCATTCTTTGAGTAATACTAAATAATTGGTGATAAAAAAGTCATTTTAACTGTTTCAGAGACTGTGCTACGAATACTGAAATGTGCCTTTTGCGAAGGTTTGTCTTAAAAACCCTTTTAGTTGTATCATTTTCATTTAGCTTTGTGTTTTATATCTTATTCAGTCCAGTCCGCTGTTTAAATTTTGGGAGCAATTTGTTTGATTGTAAATCACTTAGTAATTATTTATTATTTGTGGGTTGGAAGAGTCTGCGGCATTTCCCATTCATACTAAGATGCATTTTATGCTTTGTCTATGAATCAGTTCGAAGAAAATCTATGGGAGAAAAAAAACAAAAAAACATTTGAATCCAACAAAAATGTGATATAATTCTAAGATGAAAAAGTTCCTGAATTATTTCAATATAGTTTTATATTTATTGTATAAACCAAAAATTCCCCTCTTTCTTGGCAGTGTTGTGGCGTGTTTTGTTTAAGGAGGAATAAGAGTTGCTTTAAAGTAATTATTAGTATGGATGTAAAACCACAGCTGTAAATTAGGGTTTACATGTTCAACTGAAGTGTCCTTTGCAGGTGCCTTTACCATTTCAAAAAGTGTTGTTTAACAAAAGAATTGAAAAGATAATCTTTGTTTCCTCTGTGTCTCATTCTTTCACTCTCTTGAACGCGGCTCCATCGAAGCAGCTTTTCTCCTTCTTAATATCCATTTCTTTTATGTTCTGCACTAAAGTTTCACCAGAATGATGGATTATGTTTATTTGAAATCAATTTTCCTTTCTTAAGAAAATCGCTATGCAATGTTTGTTAAATAACTTCAGAAGAAAAACAGAAATGACTTGGAGTAAATGTGCCTCTTTTGGAGTTCAGAAACTAAAGTCCTCAAGGCCTTTTGTGTTCTAAAGATTTATTTTTATTAATTTTTTTCTTTTTGAGTCTAAATGACCACTCAAAGCGCTTTTACGCCACATTCACACTCTCGGGCAGCAGATATTAGTCCTGATGCACGGTAATACAGGCTGTGCAGCGCCTTCCCCATTTCACACACACACACACACACACAGGCGCATGCCTCTGTGGGGTTCTGCGTGTAGCCCCAAGACACACCGACGTGTGGGAGGCAGGGGATCAAACCACCAGCTTCCTGATTAACAAACATCTTGTCTGTGAGCCACAGCTTCTATAAATCTGAATAATGAGATTCTTGCAATTATTGTAGAGGATATCTGGCAGTTTCTGATAATAATTTGGCCTGTAATGCTTAAAAAAAAATGCTTCTAATAATGACTGTCTCTGTCCCAGAGCTGATACTTGGCTCTTGGCTCGTGATATAAATTGATTTTTATTTGTTTCATACAAACTGAACAAAAACTGGCCCATTCCTGCAAAACGTGAGTAGTTTAAGGTGGTATTTTTGTTCATTTGTCAGTCCGTTATTTAAAATGTTATATCAAAGCTTCCCCACAAATGTTCTATCAATGTATCCTGTGACCGATTCCTCTGGTATCATGAGAATCAGTCGGTAAACTCTGGTCCTGCCTGCGTAAAGCTGACTTTAGACACCCTGGGGCTTTCACAGTATCACCTGACATGTTCTGGAATTGGAGATGCTAAAAATAATCAAAAGATTAGTTTGGATTTTTTTTTTCAGGTGCCCTGAACAAACACGAGCTGTAGTTTCCTTCCTCTACCTCCTGCCCTCCCCTCCAGTGTTTTGGCTGCGGACTAAAAGACCTCCTTGGCTAATTGCATATGGAGTGGGATCACTTTACCGCCCCGCTCTGGCCTTTGGCCTCGGTACTGTTCCCCGACGCTGGCAGCCTCACTGTAACAATCTCCATTTTAAAGTGGCAAGGTCAATTTCCACCCCCTTCCTGCATCTGGCACTGCCGAATAATTGCTAATGCATCTCTTGTTTCTCTGGCTCCGAGCGTCTGGACTTTCCTTTCCACGCCCCTCCTCCCACCACCTCCAGCCCGTCCCGTCTTACTCATCCTTCCTGAATCCTTCCCTCCGCCGTCACGCCGAGCTCTGCCTCCGGGCCCCAGACGCCTTTTGAAACGAATAGCCTCAGCGCCGCCTAATGTGCCGGAGTTAGAGGCCCCGTGGAGCCTAATTGGTGGAGGTGATGATGGTCGGTTGACAGGAAAACAAAGGCGGCGGGGTGTTTGATTCACTTGTGAAGCGTGTAGACCGTTATTCAATTCCTGCTAAAGTATTAATAGAGGCTTTACACACCGGGGGGAGGTCGCATGGGGCAGACGCGTGCCTGCGCATCTTGTATGCGTGCGTCTGAGTGCTGGAGCTCATTTCTGGGCTGCTCATTTTTCATGCCCCAATATTGAAAGAGGAGGACAGTGTAGACTTTGGTAATTGATGACTGTCTTATGTAACTCCTTTTTAATAAGAAACCTCTCGGGGACCTGAGACAGATGCTCTGGGAGCCTTTCAAAGGTTTGCGCAGGTGGTGGAAAGGCTCAGAAACAATCAAAAAAAGAAAAAAAGCACCTGGTCACTGATTACAATGCTGGACAGATGGTAAGTTTACATGTCTTTGAAAGTAACTCTGTCAGCTAGCAATTATCCAGCACTAATTCTAGATTCTCACTTTTAAATATCACGATGTTTGCTTTTTCTTTTTTTTTTGTTGTCTTGTTTTTCTTTAAAGTTGGCGCTGTGTGCCTACTTTGGCCAAAATGAGGAAGCTTCAAATATACTTCAAAAGATAAGATGTGAAATATTTTGAATGGGATGTTCTGGTGATTATAAGTCTCTCTGTATTCTTTCAGCACAATAGAATTGTCCCCGTGTATTGAGGTGGGGCATCAAGCTTAAAAAGGAGTCTATCAATTTTCTCAATTTGAGACCTCTTCTTAGTGTTCTAAATGAAATATGGAGATGAAATACTTTGCAGTTCAACGGCTGTGTTTCAGTTATATTTTACAGTGTTTTAGCCCTTTAAAACAGGACTCCAGACAAATGGAGAAAAACCAAAAAGTTTATGCATTTATCATTCAGAAGTCTAACCTCATTTCCTTGCAGTGGCCTACTTAAATGTTTGGGAGGAAGTCACATTTTTCTTTTAAGTTTCTCAAAACAATCTAAATGGAAACATTCCGATTTTAGACTTTATTTTAAAATACCCCATACATCATATCTCTTGGATTTAAATCAGGTGGCATTTGCGGTCATTCAGTGTTTTTCCAACATGTTTGATTTTTCTATAATAGAAACTCTTAAATTGAAAATGTATGTTTTGTATCATTATCTCGCCATTTAGTGAGTTTGGAGGCTTTTACTGGAACTTCAGCAAATGAGATGTTTCTGTCCACCTCAGAATTCAGTGAGCAGCTGTATCATCAGTAAAAATGATTGTACCAGTGCCTGTCGCTTGCCCAAGCCATAACACCCCCACCTTTTACAGATTAGCTGGTAGGATTTAGCCTTTGGGCATTTCCTTTTTTGCTCTCCACACTAAATTCTTGCATCAATGTGGAGACCCTTGGGCTACCAGTCCCTTTGGGATTACAGAGCTTGCCTGTGTTTTCCTTCTTCTTACAAGTTGGTTTTTGTCATCCTAAAATTTGACCGATATCTCTGATGGTTTTGTTCCTGTTTTGTTTATTCAGTCTGATAATTATGTTGTCTTAAAATAAGAGACTAAAAATAGAAATGACCATAGAGTCTCCAGGGTGTAACCTATGTCATAAAACATTTTGGAGGGTGCTGTATGTTTTTTTTTATTTTACTTTCCTCTCACAAAGTCATCCCGTCTTCTGAGCTGCACACGAGGCCACACACCTTCCTAAAGAGATAGCGCCAAACGGTCAAGAAGGAAGAAACACCGGAAGGAGGATCAGCAGTTCTCACCGACTACATGGACCAGGCTTCTGACCCTGTGACACGTTTTGAAGTGGACGTGGACCTCGGCTTTGCACTCTTCTTCCTCTTCCTCCTTTGTTTCTTCCTACTGGTGACGGTGGTGCGTTGTGCTCAAACAGTGGTCGATCCTTACGGCATGATATCCACCTCTACCTATCAGGAGGAGCAGATAACCTGAGAGAGAGATTACAAGAACAGGACCTTGCAGGAAAAATAAAAATTTGCCCTTTGCTTGTGTTTATCAATTGTGCATGTCGCAAAGGTTATGGGTCATCACTACACTCGCACTGAACTCTGACATTTGGTATCAGTTTGTGTTGGCATGTTAACAGTTAAATGTCTTTGGACAATTCACGATGAGATACAGAACATAAAAGGGCTTTATCCAGAACCATATCCAATTTTTCCAATTGGCCTCTTTATCTGAGGTCCTACACCTTTTAATTAATATGAGAGAAAGTCTACAAAATGGCAGCTCTCTGTGCATTCAGAGATGTCGACAACCTTAAGAATAAAGAAGTTCTTAAAAGTAATAAAATCCCACCAAATCTCACTGTGAATTTGGTTAGAAAATAATGTCTTAGATAATAAAACGCACAAATCTTGAACAATAACCTGTTGCAGGGATTGGGTTGATTACTATCGTGAGCGTCCACTACTTAACCCGCCCTACACCGCGTGCCACCGGCAGGGGGCGGTGTGGTGCAGCACCGCGGAGCCTCAGCCGCCGTAAAGCAGCCCGGAGCGGAAGAAGAAGAGGCTCCGCTGTGAAAACACAAACAGAATGGTCACAGACGCTCGCCACGAAGATATAGTGTTAGAAATTTGCACAACTGTTTGTCAGCGTGTCTTAAAACTCCATCAGTAGCTTCCCCGGTCTTCCGATTGGTGGTGAAAGTTCGATAGCTAACGCCTACGACATCATCACCCCGGAAACAATCGCGACGGGGAAATATAAATATATATTTGTGTTGTGTGAGCAGACGTTTGTCGTTTCGAGGCGGAACATTTGATGACAATAAAAGGTAAGCTGTTCGGTTTGGGTTTAGATTTCAGGCCTCGTCTTTGTTATGCTAACA